TATTATGTTTCTGTATTATATATTTTTATTTATTGTAAATAGAGTGTGAATATGCTCTCTGAACATTATTATAAATGTCCTTAATTGTGACAGATTGTAATATCTCTTAATAAATATGTTTCGGAAAAAGAAAGAAAGAAAGATGTTTATATAAACTCAAACACAGTGGCAACTGATGTTTTCATAATTAAAGAGAAAAGAGAACCATAGTTGAGCAAGGAAGTGTCCGAAAAACTTGGAGTATTGAAAGTAGGGTTAGAGATAAGAAAGGTGTCAAGAATGAATAAATTAGAAGGTTATCAGATGGATGTAAAAATCGATCCAACTAAACATCCTATAATGCAGCCATATCAGCGAATACCGATCGCCTTGAAGAAAAAAATGGAGACTAAGTTAGAGGAGTTGCTAGATGCAGACATTATTGAGCCAGCAAAGGGTCCGATTCCGTGGTCATCAAGATTGGTCCCGAAGCAGAACAACGATTTACGTTTATGTTTGGACTTAGCAATGGAGGGTGAACGAAGCAATGTTTAGTTAAAAACACCACATTGCTACAATTGAACAATGCTTACCGGTCCTAAAGGAAATCACGTGTATTTCGAAGTTACACTTGTTAAATGCATTCCATCATATTGAACTTAGGAATCAAGGAAATTAACAACTTTTCCAACATTCAAAGAATTTTTTTGGCATAAGAGACTTTGCTTTGGATTAAAGACAACTCCAGAATTATTTAATAAAATTATGGATAAAATTCTTCAAAGATGCGAGAGATGCTTGGATTTTATTGATGATATTTTAATTTACGGAAAAACGGTTGAGCAACGTATTCGACTTAAAAGAATATTAGATTTATTAAGTTACCTAGGACTCCTTCTGGACAAACGTCTAACTTGGAATCCTCATACCAAACAGAAACGACAAGAAACAGCTCAACGTTTCCGACTACTTCAACACTTACTAGACAAACGCTCTAACCTTCCAAATAACTATAAAATACTAATTTACATGACTATTATAAGGCCTATTTGGACTTACGGAGTTGAGCTATGGGGCTCCACCAAACCTTCAAATTCCTCTCGCATCCAATCCTTACAATCCAAAATCCTTCATAAAATCCTCAATGCTCCTTACTTTGTTACAAATAAAATCATCCATAATGACCTTAATGTTCCTTATGTATCAGATTTGGCCCAATCCAGATATCTGTCCTTCCATAATAAACTTCATAACCATCCCAACCCTCTTGTTTCTAACCTTGCTTCCTATTCAATTCCTGATAATCCTCCGAGGCGTCTGAAAACCAGATGGCCACGTGATCTCCTAATATAGACATATTATTAGAGTGCTACGAATGGGTAGTTTCTCAACATGTGTTTCATGTCTTTATATCCATGTGCGAATTTACCAGATGTATTTTTTGTATACAGTTGTAAATATCATATAAATAAATAAAAAAAAAATTATTAAAACTTACAGGATTTGAACATACTGAGAAAAAGTGAGAAACACGAAAAACAGAACTAGTATTCTTGGGACATAGACTGGCCACTGAGGAGTGTCACCTGCAGATGATAAAGTCAAGGCGGTAAAATCATTTAGAGCCCCCAAAACAGTAGATGAAGTACGTAGTTTTGTATGTTTGGTCAATTTTGTTGGCCGTTTCATTCCCAATTTAGCCATAATTCCAGCACCCTTCCAGCTACTAATAAAAAAAGATCAAAATTTTATTGGGAAAGATTTATAAGGGCAGTCATTTAGAGCCTTAAAGAATGCAGTTAGTGATACGAGCATATCAGGTTATTACAATAATGATGATGACACGTACGTATTAGCCAATGCAAGCCCAGTTGGTCTAGAAGCAGTTCTAGTGCAAGAAAATAGTGAGGGTTCACGAATAATTTTATAAGCTTCAAAGAGTGTCTGAGTTAGAAAAGAGGTACTCGCAAACGGAAAAAGAAGGATTAACACTTGCATGGGCTGTGGAAAAGTTTCACCCTATCTGTGGTAAGCACTTTTAGCAAACTAGTGACCGATCATAAGCTCCTAGAAACTATATTTGGTGCTAAGTCAAAACCATGTACTCGCATTGAAAGGTGGGTGCTCAGGCTTCAATTCTACGATTATGAAGTTATTTACAAACCTGGGAAAAATAATATAGCTGATCCTCTGTCTAGACTTTCACAAGATGGGGAGGATACAAAATGGAAGAGAGGAGAAAAGATTACCAAACAAATTATTCAATATTCAACACCACGCAGTACCAGTCCGCGGAAATTGAAAAAGAAACTAAAGATGATTCAGAAATGAAACAAATAAAAGAATGTTTACGCTCAGAAAAATGGCTACCGAAATAAAAAAGGTATGAGAAAATTTTAAAAGAGTAGTGTGAGGGGAATCTATTGTTGTTGAGAGGGGAAGGATTGTACTTCCTGACTCTCAGATCACTAGCGGATCCAGGATTTAATTTTGGGGGGGGGGGCTTCGGTCCGGAAGCTTTTTTTTTATATACATAAAACTATACTTACTTTAGAAAAACAGAAAGATACTAACTACCTGTATGAAATAGTGTTTAAGTGATTCTTTAAGTCCTATTTTTTACCATAAAACATTATTACATTTTACCATTTTGGAGGGGGGGGGCTCAGCCCGAAAGCACTCCCCCCCGTAAATCCGCCTGTGTCTCAGATCAAGACTATTGATACTAGTACACGAGGAATATACAGGAATCGTGACGATGAAGATGGCACTTAGGCTTAAGTTGACCAAATATGTTTGTAGATGTAGAACACACAGTAAAAACATGCCAGGGGATGCCAGCAAGTTTCCGCAGCGTCGTTTCCAGAGCCAATGAAAAGCAGAGTTTTACCAGGAAAACCATGGCAAGAAATCAGACTTAATTTCAAAGGACTACTAAACAATGGAGAATATTTAATGGTGGTTATAGACTATTATAACAGGTTTTACGAAGTAGAAATTATGAACACTGCTGAAAAAACAGTGTAGAAGTTCAAGATAATGTTTGCGCACCATAGATTACCTTTCAGCATTACATCTGACAAAGGAAGTTAATTTGTTAGTTCGATATTTCGAGAATTAGGCAGAAAAAAATGGCATTAAGCTGATGCACACTCCTCTATATTGGTCTGAAGCAAATATTTCCTTTCGGAAACTAATATTTTAAGCATCTGTTTAATGAAAAGAGAAATGTATCGCCGTTAGCTAGGAATGCTTGTGCTCCTGTCGCAGTTGTTTCTACTTACTCCGAACTGAGTCTCGCAGGTGAAATACATTGATAGAGGAAAATTAATTTTAAAAAAAATGAACTTCATTTATTCTTTCAACCAACCTTTTATTCGAGCACAAGAAAATACGGGTTTTCTCCCGAACCCAGTTTTAATTCAGTTCCAATAGATCTGGACGCATTGCAACCTCCAGCAACTATAGTATACTTGCAGAATCCATGCGATTCATAAAACTGATCACGATAATAATTTGTATATGAGTGTACCGTCATATCTCATGAGAAAGTGTTGTTCTTTTCTTAAAATATCTGCTGTTGGGAACGTTTTCCTGAAGGAAGGTGCTGATTATTTGGTCTTTGATTTGATTGGAATCTGATTATGATCGGAATCGGAAATTATTCTGAGTATTTTTTTTCTTAGAGAACTTCCATTTCCAAGCTACAGGGCCATTTATAGTAATCTGTCTCAGATTTTGACAAGGTTGCTTAGCGTTCATTGGCCGTGGTTATCGACTATATCAAATTACTAAGTTCAGGTACTCGTTCGAGGCATAATTTGACGTTCTTTAATTTCTTAATGCACTGTGTGGTAGTAACAGATAAAAAGATCAGATAAATCGGGATTTTTTGGTTGTAAAAAGTTTTCTCTTAAACAATGGTTAATGAACAAGTAGAAAATCAAAGTTTGTGATTTTTAAGTAAGTCACGTTTTTTGTAGAATAGGAAGTGATAACTAAAAAGCCAATTAATTTATGTAATTAACGACTGCTTCACTGTAAGCTAGACATAATTTACTTTAAATGAAATTAGAGTTTGCTTTTGTTGAAATCGTTTGGGAGGGCTTTTGAGCGGTTAAACTCAGCTACTGGATGAGGGATCTGCTTAAATAATGTTAGTAAATAAAAGCCATGGAAGGGATACCGCTGGGTATTGCTATTCCTCATGCCTATCAAGCCTTTTTATTTACTTATTTTTTGTATTTATTTATTATTTTATTTTATTTTTCTCTCATTACTAAGCCAGCACATCTGCTGATTGTCAATAATAATTGGCAGGTGCGGATAAATAAATGTAAGTGTAAAAAAAAAAAAAAAAAAAAACTCAGCTAAAGAGTGGGAGATCGGCTAGGGGTGCGCCCCCCTGAGGAAATTGCTGGATCCACCACTGGTTCACGTATCTTAATTTAATTTATTATTTGTAACTGTATGCGGTGCATTGCTTCAATTTACTTTTGCTGGGTTATATTAAATGAGCGATATGTATGGTGAGGTAATTTTCATAACTGAAATTGCCGTTATTTATAATTATGTTATGTAAAATGTCAGGTATATTTAAAAAATGTTGAACGGTAATTTTTAATTTTAAGTTTTAGAGTAATATTTACTTACCTCCGATGTAAGTCTTTACTGCGATGTAGTGGCATAAATTGTAACTAAATCTGTGCTTCGATGTTTTGTCTAATAGTTATGTTATCTGACTTTATAACCTTCTTCAATATAAGAATATTTTGTGTTGATATAAATTGGCCGTTCTTTGATTTAAATTGTTAATGATTTTGAAGTTACGACATTTATTTTTTATGTTTACCATGTAGTGTTAAATGGTTTGCTTTCTTAGCAATAAGTTTTTTTTTTTTTTTTGTTGACTTTCACATTTGTTGGTAAATATTGTTTCATGATTTCACTTCATATTTTAACAATGTCATCATTACTGTATAATCCCCACAAGTTTAGTTTAAATTGCTTATTCTTGTTTAGGAAGTTAGTAGTTTCCTGTTTTATCATTTTGTGAATTCAACAGTTGTCAATCATATTGTATAATTGTGAGTTATGTTTCTCAATTTATCCTTTTTATGATTTTTTTGTGTTATGAGTTATCTAAATCTAACCAGAGATTAAGATTCAGTTCAGTGTTCTATTATAATGTAGATGTCTTCATGTCAATGGTCAATGATATCTATCTCATTTTAAATTGTATTTGATCTGTTAATTATGTATATTGTTGATAGCCATTTGTAAATTCATAATTATTTCATATGTTTTTATTTCCTCTTATTAGTTAATGTAGTTGTTATAACACCTTTTTCAATGTTTTTTATTATTTTGTTATTTGAAATATCCTATTTTTATCACAAATTTGAAATTTATGTTTTTACTCCAATAGGTTTTGGCTTATCTTTTATAAGAGGTGAAAACAAAATTATTACACAGTTTTTATTAATGTCAATTTATTTTGGATTTTATTGATACTCAATTTTTGTTAGATTTTTATGAATCACTTAAACTTGTAGAAATATTTGTGTAATGTTAATATGTTTACTCACTATATCAAACCGTAAGTTATTTAAAAACTTTACGCCTGGTTTGAAATATCTGAATTTTATTCAAGATAGGAATTTTTAAAAAAAGATGCCTCCCTGTATGTTTTTTAAATTTTATTTAGAATTAGGTTTGGTCAAAACAAAGAACATTGATTAGTATAAACTATTAAAGAAGCAATAAAAAAAAATACCATAAAACATAAATTACTATAAAATATACATAAATAAACCACAACATAGTTTAAATCACCAGTTATGGTCATAGTTAAGAAAGTTGATTGATTTGAAAGGATGTTTTGTCTAAACAGTTTTGGTTATATATTATGCAACTGATTGTTCTACTAACAAGAGTTCTTTACAGTCAGAGAAGCCAGAAATTTTATCTTTTTACCTTCACTTACGTATATATTTAATACATAGTAAGGGCAAATATTGCAATCGTGAACATTTTTTAATCTGAATTTTCAACGGAAATACATGTTTTGGGTACCCTGAGTCCAAATAACCAAGTCCCGAAAAATGGTCTGTGTGTTTATATGTTAGCAGTCTAGCTCAAAAATGAAAAGTTGTCCTAATCTGATATTACCTATTTAAAATAGATATATGCTTTAGATGTGACAGCAACTTTTCCCTTAAAATCGGCTAACCGGAAGTGCCACTTTATATCAACGGTGAAAAACATTTTTACAATTTTCTCAAAAACGGCTAACGATTTTGATTAAACTCGGTGTATCATTATATAATTAAGTGGTCTTTAATATCATTATGTCTTATCCCCATTGATGTCTCTTTACAGGGCTTAAATGCCCAATGTTCATATGCATCTTCCTCTAAAGTACCTTTAATATGGTTTATTTTAAATATTTAACTACCTCTCATTATTAAGAGTTACGAAAAAATGTTAAATATAACTTTTGAAAGAATTTGATAATTGAATGAAGGAGAAAAAAATAAAAATGCTTATCCAGATCGAAAATAAAACTCTGGAAATTCTAGTCAGAAAATATACATATAATATGTTGTTGGAAAGCGGAGAGTTTTAGAAAAAACAATATCTAATATAGAAAGTTGTAGAAGGTAACGGAGATTGACAAAACTGATTTAACGTAAATCATGTTTTCAAGGAAATTAAATGAAATTTACTTACTAAATGTAAACTTTTTTAAAAATATTTTTAAGTTTGAAAAAAGTATTTAAAATCCACCTAATCAAGGCAATGAATGACATTGTTTAAAAAAATATTTCATTGTACTTGTATGAAAGAAGAAGTAAAATATTAAATCATTTCACGGATGTATAAAGCATATGTTTATAACCTTAATTACATTTACTGTAGTGTAATTTGATATTATATTTAAATAATTAGGTTTCAATGTCCGTATCAGGTATCAATATTATTCCGAAATATTGTCATATAACTTTTTAGAAAATTAAATTAGTGAATAGTTTGATGGAATTTCCTTTTGTGATATTCCAACAGTATCCACTTACAATTAGTGTGACAACTTTTGACCTGTCTATGACACAATGCAAATCGCTTAATTCTGTTTTAGTAAACTTTGCTGTGGAAAATAACAATTTAGTAACTAATAGTCGTGCAATCCATAATCAACGGATGTATGATCCATAATCAACCGGTGATATAATAAATAGGACTTTTGTTATTTTAATGGTATTTATGATTTATCAGCTGTATTTTTTTTAGCTTTAAAATGCAATGAAATTTTATAATAGTCCAATATGGCTAGAAGATAATTTCTATTCAAAGTTGAGCGGTAAGTGAAAGTTGTGTGTTGCGCGCACCAGATTTTTTAGCTAGAAATTACAAATTATGAAAAACTTTTTAATAATTTTTACTTTTTATCTTTGGTTCTTCCAAAGATAAAAAATAATGATCTATGTTCTCCTTTTAAGTTCCAGAGAGCCAAACCGTTAGCAGAAGAACCATTTGAAGGGAAGTTGAAATAGCTATCGGGAAATCAAAATCTTATAATGCAGCGGGAACCGATAATATTTCTAGTAAACTAATTAAGGCATGCAGGGAAGCTGGAGTTTATAAAATACATTTTTTGGTTAAAATATCTGAGAGAATGAGAAATTGCCTGAATGGCTTACGGAGAAAAGGGCCAGAGAACGGATTGTAATAACTATCGAGGAATTTCACTCCTTCCTGTATGTTATAAATCATTCACATTAATCTTAACTAATCGAATCACAGTATACGCCGAGGAAATTATGGAGGACCACCAATGCAGATTTAGGCGGAACTGTTTGACTATCGATCAACTATTCTCTTTACGACAAATATTAGAGAAAAATTATTGTACAAAGGTGTTGCCCACCAGCTTTATATCGATTCCAAAAAGGCTTATGATGTCATTGACCACCAGAAGCTGTATAATATTCTAATCAAGCAGGATGTGTATGTCTGAAACATTCAATAAAGTTAGAATCGGTTTTTATCTATCCCAAAAATTTGAGGTTCGTTCGGGCTTAAAACAAGGTGATTCTCTTTCACCTGTCCTATTTAATTTGGCATTAGAAAATGCCATTAGAGAGGTGATATATACTGAAAAAGGTTTGAACCTGGGTGGAACAATATCATCTTTGGTATGCTGATGATTTTGTACTGTTAATCAAAGACATGGAAACAATGAAACTAAATACAACGTTGGTGGAAGTCGGTAATGAACTGGGACTCGAAATAAATATAGATAAGACAAAATATATGGTTAGCTGCAAAAACAGTGACAATTTTGATGATGTCGATATAGAAGGGAATGTGTTTCAACACATACAGAATTTTAGGTATCTAGAGTCTACGATAACTAGAAAAATAAAATTAAAGAGGATATTTAGGTTAGGATAATGGTGGGGAATGCTTGTTATTTTATTTGTCCAAACTACTTAGTTCTTGCCTCCTGTCACGAAACTTAAAAATTAGAATTTCATAACCATTATCCTTCCTACGATTCTTTATAGATGCAAAACATGGCCGCTTACATTAAGGGATGAGCAACGTCTTAAGGCTTTTGAAAATAAAGTGTTGAGCAGAGTATTCGGACCGAAGAAGGATGAGTCAACCAGAGAATTTAGATAGTTACACAACGCTGAATTATGCGAACTATACCCAGTTAATATAATTGAGATGATAAAGTTGAGGCAAATAAAATGGGCATGTAAAATCGCTGGGCTTAGTAATGTAAGAATCCTTCCAAAATTAATATGCGCTGATCCGACTGGCAAGAGTTCGAGGGGTAGACCAATGCAAAGGTGGGAAGATTGTGTATAAGCTAATTTGGCGAGGTTAGGTTTAGACGGCACCCAGTGAATGAAAGAATGTGGACATCGATTGGTGGTGCAATATAGTGCAAAAAATTTTAAATTTTCAACTGCTATAAAAATTCATAGTTAAAGAGTTTTTGAGGTGCGAAAAATGAATATCAACTTTGTTTTAAAACTATTTACACCTACATTGCTATGTTGGTTGGCCCTAGTTCTACCCATACCTTAACTATCTGCCAATATAATATTTTTTCATAACTGACCTTGTATTTAGAGTAAATATTTTTTTAGGGAGAAATTGATATTCATTTTTCGCACCTCAAAGAGACCGGATTTCCATGTTATTGCACGTTTTATTCACTTGCATGTAAAAACTCTGGACCCGAATATCTATCACTTAACAAACAAATTGAAATTATAAAAACTGTAGGAGAAAATCTTAAAAATTCAATAATAAAATAGAAAAAATTATACCTCAAAAAGTTAACTTCATAAAAAAAAATATAGGTTGTACTCATTATAAAATATAACGATTACATTAACTGTATAAATGTTAAAATTGACAAAGAACCAGCACTGCTTGCTTGTTATAAAATGAGCCCCCTTACATCAATTCATGTTGAATGCTCGTTTTTCCCAATTAAATGAAGTATTAAGTGATAGAAGAAAAAAATTTTCAGAAACAAATTTCGAAATAACATTGTAAATCTCAACTCAATTAAAAAATTTAAATAATAAAATAATAATAAATATATAAAATTAAATATCTGAAATCAATTGGTCTGGTATATATTATATATACTTATCCTTCATACGTTCAATTTTTCTAAGTTCCTCTACATTACTTCATTTCCTGTATAAAAATGCTGTAAATTAACCAATTAAAGGGAAATTTAAACAAATATATTTAATTATTTGTCGGTTAATTATTGAGACCGTTTTGTATTTGTTTTGTGAATTATCTTCAAATTTTCTATTATTTATGTTAATCCGTTTTTTTTTTAATTTCTTTTTTCAAGATTTAGGTTAATTGTAATATATTGTTGTAACAGATTATGTTTTGTGCCGTTAGTTGATTCTAATATGGATTTCAATTTTTTTTTTGTTACACAATATTTTAATTCAGAAACTTAATATAAGGTTTGATAGAATTTCAATGTAGTAATATTATAAATTAAATAAAATAGATGATTTTTGCACATTTTTAGGTGTAAATTAGACAATTTTTGAGTTTTACTGCAATGTTTTCAGATTTTTACTGCAATAAGATTCGATCTTTATTTATAAGTATAAGTCTTATAAATAATAATTATAATTATAGATTATAAGTGTAAAATTGATAGTTGTCATGTATTTTCATTTCTTGTATTTATTTATAATTTTTTTACAAAAGACCTGCTATCATTGTAAAAAACTAATTATGGTCATGGGACCTAAATATTTTTATTATTTAAAATTACTATTTATACATAACAAACATTTGATGTTATTATAAATATTACCATTAGCTTATAAATGACTAAAACACTGAAAACATTATAATACAGGACATTTGTCAATTTTACACTATATAGAAGAATCCGTTGTGAGATATGAAACCAAAGTAGTATTTTGGCAAACTGTTTAGACAATGCAGCCTTTTGCATATACTAACTTCCCTAACTATGACCATTACTGCAATTGATCCTAAAATAAAGGAAATCGACATTGTATATTTGACAAAATTAAATATACTGGATGTCCTGTAAGTAGAAAATATTTCAAAGGGTGATAGTAGACATTAAGATCTATGTTAATATAAACAATAGCCTAATTCCTAGCAGAAAACTAGAAAATTGAAGATTTGTGATTTTTCACAAAGAACTCCATTATAGATATTGATCTGTATATGTAAGTGCCCAACTAAATATTTACGTTTTTGTAAAAATAATAAGCAATCAGCAGGTTTCCTAACTTAAATGTAAATATTAGGATTGGAAACATATAGCTGGTCACTTATAAATACGGATCAATATATATTTAATAGAAGTTTCTGGTAAAAAAAAGCAGCAGTTTTCATTATCACTTTAGGTGATATATATTCGAAAAACTATTAATTTGAATTTTTTAATAAATACAAAGTGTACTTATGTATTTATATTTTTTATAATATGTCCCAGATCATGGGAAAAAAGAAATTAAAGCTTTTCAATAATTTTTTAATAGTCATTTTTGCTGAAAACATGGTTACTTTTAGATGACAGGATATCGAATCATATAATTTTTTTTACTTAACTTGAGGTGAATTTCAAAATTTTCTCTAATGAATCTCAATTAATTAATATGAACTTAAAGATTATTAAAGAGAAAGTTTTCCTAAAAGTGAGGTATCTGTAGTATAGTTGGAGGGTGATAAAAAACAATCAAATAATTTATGAATTTTTTTAAACCGAAATTAGCTGAGTTCTGCCACTCAGTATTCCTCTTTAAATGTTTTCAACAATGACAAATTCTACTTTCATGTCTACTTTATCAACCCTTTTTAATATTTCCCTCTACTTATGGTACACCTTGTATAAAAAATTAAATTAATATTAATGATTAATAATTATTTTCGAAAAAAATATCTATAAACTTTTTTTTTTTCACTGTAGGACATTTAATATGATAACAATTCAGTGTTGAATCATTGGCAACATATAGTTGTTAATTTATTGACTGAACCTTAAGATCCTTAGAAAGTAACCTTATTTTAGTCAAAAAAGTAGAAATCAATATATGTATGTATTCAAATCTAAAAGGTCCCATTGCTCTAATATTGCTTAAAACATTCCCTGTTCTATTCCTAATCATAATACTCTTAATCGACTTGTTGTTAATATATTTATTGCCTTCTGATTCAGCTTAGTTTATCTGATTCTCTTATCACATTTCTCTTCTCCATCTAACCGAATAAAAAATAAGTTTGTTCAGTTATGTTCTCATTTTTGATCTTAGAAAAAATAACTATTGTGTTTTAAAATATATTTCTTTTTGGTAATATTTAATTTTTCAGTGCAGGTAATTTACACAGCAGTTAACTTTAATTTTAAATCCACATTTGAAACATTCAGGTTAAAATGGATCAAGTCTGTAATTTATAGTTTTGAGATGATCAAGGTTAAAGTTTAGTAGCACTAATTGAATCCTTTTGTTTTTGAAGATAGTTTTATTTTTATTGTTGTAGTTTATTTAATTTTAATTTAAGCCTTAATTAATTATGGGTTATACTTTTGTAGTTTTGATACAATAATTTAGGTAGCTTGTCTGTCTTAAAGCTATAACTATAGCTGAGAGTTAATAGGGTGTTTAAAAACAAATAACTGTTTTTCAATCAAATATAAGTATTATTGTTTCTTTGATATAAAATACAATTAATACTCAAAGTATAGTCCATTGCTATCTACTGTAATTAGCCATCTGCTAGCCAATTGCTCGATCCCACGCTGATACCATTCTTTGGGATGGCTGTCGAAGAACTCTTGGACCGTAATTTCAACTTCTTCAAAATTATCCCCTTGAAGAAAATGAGCTATGGATCTGAATAAGTAGTAATAGGATGGTGCGAGGTCTGAACTATATGGTGGATGAGTGAGGAGTTCGAACCCATGAAGTTCTTTAAACTTTTCTAGGGTTCGCAAGGAAGTGTGAGGAAGAGCATTATCTTGTTGGAATAAAATTCCTTTCTAGTTGATCAAAGCTGGATAACGCTCTGACAACTTAGTGTACAATCTTTCCAGTTGTTCGCAGTAGAGTTCAGAATTTATAGAGCATCCATCAGGAACAAATTTGTAATAAATAACACCTTCAAAATTAAAAAAAATGTAAAGCATGTTTTTTTTTTTTTTTCAAATTGCTCCCTTGCAGCAACTTGAAAAGCAGTTTGACCGTAATCTAGCATCAATGTGTGATTGAAGAGTTTGGGATGGGTCATTATTAACTGATAGAACATATGTGTCATACTGTCATTTGTGGTGATGACAGTATTAAGATGGGTTATAATGTAAGTTGTTTAAATTGTGTGAAGGTTAGGACCTAGGATACTACCTTGAGGAACGCAAAGAGATGGGAAACACAAACACACAAAGGAGAGAGTAAGATAGGAACAGATAATTAAGTATGAAGAGATCGTGATGGCCTAGCGTGTTAAAGCATTGCTCGTTTTAGCATCCTCGTGCCTAGCGATGCCGGTTTGAATCTGGCCTGGGAGGGATTGACTTCTGTTTTGTGGCAAACCCACAAAATGAAACTCGACCTTCCCATTCTGGTCAAAATAGGTTTGATTGTACCTCTAGAATAACCAGTATGCCAGAAACAGTGAGTAGGGAAAGGTTAATAAAATAAAATTTAGAAAGTATATAGTAAAGTATGGGTGTAGGAATTCATAGTTTGTAAAGCAGTCCCGGGTGCCAGACTCAATCAAATACCTGTTCTATGTTGAGAAAGACTCCCATGCAGTACATTCTGCACTCCAATGCAGAGGAGACAACATCCACCACAATGGCATTGTTGGATAGTGAAATGGGGTGTGCAGAATCCAAATTGGTGATCTAGGACTATGCGATTAGAATCTAGAATAGGGTACTGGAGTTTTAAGATACTTTAGGAATTACATTACTCATTCAGACATTTTAGGAAGAATTATTGTTTAAAAATCTACTATTATCATGAATTTTTTATTTTTTTTAATGTTAACCGCAGTTTTTTATGTTAATACCGTCTATCATGTTTCATAGGATGTTGGTTTCTACTTATATTTTTAAAGTAATTTATTTTTATTGAATATATAATTTCTAGATTATGAAGGAGCAGAACAAAACTGATGAAAAGTATGGATTCTCATGTTGATACAAATGGAATAATGAATTCAACCTCTGATAAGATCCATTCATTGTGCCTTGGTGTGGAAATATGTGTAGTTTGTGGTGATAGAGCATCTGGTAAGATAAATTTCAGAATTCTTAGTAATTATATATTTATTGTTTTTAAAATTTTTCTTTTATTTTTCTAAGAAAATTTTATTTATTTTCTTTCTTTCGTGAGTTGTAGGAGCTTAGTTGCTTTTAATGAATGTCAATTCAAAATAAATATTACTCTCTTCTGATGTGGTACATATTTCATAAAATAGTTTTGATCATTATGCCACATTCTTATCATTAAACTATATCTCACCTTTTATTTATCATTTACACAATAAATCTATTAAGATAAAATAAATGCATGAGACATGCTTGGTTATGTAATAGTTAAAAATATATTTTTGACCTAATCTCCTAGTATTAGATAATTTTTGTTTTATGTTGGAAAACTTTTTTTGACATAAAATATAATTAACTTGATTTATTAGAATCATTTTTAGAAACTTAAATATTTTTATTATTGTTGTTATTAAGAAAAAAAAAAGAAAAGGAGCTAAAAGTGGCACTGCTTTAGGGAGTAGTTCCTTCACTTTGCGTGTAGCTTTAAAGTTTATTTATTGTGAGGGTATGCATCTGATATTAACATTTTAGGAAAAACTAAGTTACTTTCTTGTTGTCTATATTAAATAGTTAGTAGTGGTAGAATGGGATGAAATGGTAGGTATTTACAAGTATATTCTATTTATATATCTTCAAATCATACAGTGAAAATAGAACAGAATGTACAGAAAAACATTCAAAATACTAAAATAAACCAGCTGAATTTAATTTAATTTTTTTTTTTTTAATGAGATGTAACTATTATTATTAAATATTTCCGAGATATATGCATAAAACAGCTTAGTAAAAATTATAACCCGTCTTCCTCACTGAAGATTTCTGGGCAATCTCAATCCTTTCTAACCTTTCGAAACCCCTGGAGAGAATAGTGCAATCCCAAGTTTCCAACTTCCTTGAACAGTCCAATCAGCTTGACCCTTACCAATCTGTTTTCCAACCAGGTTACTCCACACAATCCGCCCTAATCAAAAACATTAGTGATATTCAGTCCGCCATAGATGGCAAAAAACTAACTGTCCTTGTATTCCTTGACTTTTCCAAAGCCTTTGATACCATTGACATTTTCATTCTCTTTTCCAACTTAAAATCATTATCCTTTTCCAATAGTTCTATCCTGTGGTTTCAATCTTTCCTCTTGCAACACTCACAAGCTGTCGCTATCCCTAATCAATCTTTGTCTTCCTATCTTACTCTGTCCCTCAGGAGTGGCCCAGAGCTCTAGTATATCTTCTCTTCTGTTTAGTTCTTATATCAACGACATCCATAAATCAATCCTTCACTGCTCCCATCACCTCTATGCCGATGATTCCCAAATTTATCTTTCTTTCTATCCCTCAGAGTTGCATGATGCGTTTGCCAAAATTCAAGAAGACTTGAATCGGATCAGTGCCTGGGCAAACTTGAATTGATTTAGATTAAACACTGCCAAAACTCAAGCCATTGTCATTTGTTCCAAACCCCTTCTCAGATCTAATACCACCATTCCTATCCTGTACCTCAATGACCATCCCATCACCTTCATCTCCTCAGCAAAAAAACCTAGGCATTTTCATACACCAAACCCTCTCCTGGAAACACCATATTGCTCACATCTCCTGACGGTCAATTGATACCTTGAAATTATTTGATCGGTTCCGCCATCTCCTACCCATTCTCACACATAGATTCCTAGTATCTTCTCTCACCTGGATTACGGCTGTGTGGTGTATGGTGGTCTCTCGGCAGAACTCGAGGACAGACTGAAAAGAATTATGAATGGCTTCGTGAGATTTGTCACCGGAACCCTGAGACATTCCCGTGTTTCGCACCACTAAACTTAAACGTTTAATGAATTGCTCAATCCGCTTTATCTTCGGGATCTCAAGGGATACGCATATTACCCAGTTCTACACCAAGTTGAAGTGGCTTTATCCGTCCTTCCGCCGTCAATATTTCCTGGCTACCTTCCTATACCGAGCCATTACAACACGGCAACCTGCCTATATTCTACAGATCCTACAATTCAAACGCTCCTTTCAATCCCGTCCCACCAGATCCCATGCGTCTGACCTCTATCATCCTCCTCACCGAACTGCTGCGTTTGATAAATCCTTTTTAATACAAGTTGTCTCCCTCTGGAACTCTATACCTTCAGGTATTTGACACGCAAAATCGATATCCTCTTTCAAATCTCTCCTCTTTGAACACCTACTCCATTCCCAATCCGATTGATCACGAAATGCACTTAAAAACCTAAGCTGTAAAAACCTCTAAAGTACACCCAGATACTCTGATTATTTTGTAATTCATCGATATTTCGTTTACTTAATTACTTTCTCTGTATATTTTATATTTACACGTATTTATATCTTTTCATCATTTATAACTTTATTGTACTCCAAATTAACCTGTAAATATTAAATTGTATTTCATGGACACACCAAAATATTAATATATATTCTGTATTTGTGACTTATTCTAAAGGGACACTAGTCCCAGAATAATAAAATTATTTTCATTCATTCATTCATTTTCACTATGCTGAGTTAGGATGGCTCTTCCCCTCCTTCCGAAGTCAATATTTCCTGGGCACATTCCTTTACCAAATAATCTATAATCATCGTCCGTCTTACGCATACAATCTCCTACAATTCAAGTCATCTATCCACACCCTCTCCACAAGATCTCGTCCTTCTGACCTTTACATCCCTTTCCACAGATCTGCCTCATTTAAACATTCCTTTTTTGTCCATTCCACTGCATTCTGGAATTCCATCCCTCTAAAAATCCGCCATGTATCATCCTTATCCACATTTAAAACCCTCTTATTCCAATCCCTCTTCACAATTCAATCAGACACTGGCTAAATATTTATTATGTAATAAGGCTTTAATTTTCTTTATAATTTTTTTTCTCTTTTTTTATTCTGTGTTGAACATGAATTTCCATCACCACTCACAAAGCATTGTGAGTAGGTATAATTTGTTTTTCTTAACTCTTCTTTTCCTATTCATGAGATTGTTTTTCTTATATATTTACTCACACACACATATATATATATATATATATATATATATATATATATATATATTTACATATACATATATTATTTTATTTCTCCTAATCTTTATGTTTATTCACTTAAACATCTTAAGGAACATATGTAAATCATTTATTTACAGTATTTATTTTTTTAAAATTTTTATATTCCATCGCTACAATGCTTTGCCTATAAAAAATTTATTTAGCTTTCCTTTCTAATTTCATTTAGTGATTATTATGTTATTGTGTTAGCTCCAATATTGTAGTATTGCAACCCTATTAACCAACTTTTTTCATTAATATATCCTAAGAGCTGTTTATAAGTATATAAGTATATAAACAGCTCTTAGGATATATTTTATTATTTGTATTTTAGTTATTCTTTATTGTAATAGGTCTTTTGGCCAGATTTATTGTTAATTTATATGAACAATATTGTTATTCTTAAGAGACCTAGTCCCAGAATAAAGATAATTTTTTATTTCTATTTCTAATTTCCAAACTTTTTTTTATATTTTTGGGCATGACTCCAAAACTATGCATTTCATCAAAATTATTATCATATACAAAGTTAAAGAAGATAAAATTTACTATCAATTTTATAAATAGCTTTTTGATGTAGACCCAACAGGTGAGGAGTTATAGAAGTTGACTCTTTGTTTATTTCATAAGAAATATCTTTGTCCGTTGTTCTCATAAAACATAATCCATGCATCTCTCGAAAAAAAAAAAAAACACATTATAATCAGTTTGAAAAAGCATTAAATTTCCTATGTACTTCATTTAGACACGTTGATATGGGAGAAGATTAAGCGGCTGTCAAAGTGCATGGATTCGAAGGTGTATTTCACACGTAGTATCTGCCGCTCATACTTTTAACCTGTTTTCATCTTTTCAATGCTTTTGATTCAGCTAATTTAACTATATTTATAACAAAACTAGAATGTTTAAACCAATTACATAGCTTTTGTATATTCTGTTGGAATGAGAGACATCATAATAATCAAAAACATAAAAATGGAAATGCACTTCCAAGTGCCCTAATAACTTTTTAACTTTTCAAATATTAACGATTATAGAAGAAGAAGAAGAAGAATAAAGTAAATTTTATTCTGGGATTTTAGTCCACTAAGAAGAACTACAGTGAACAAAAAAAAAAAGAAAATTGTCTGGTACTATAAGAAAATAAAAAATAATTAGTTAACATAACATAATAATCCAACCTTAAAATTAAAATAAATTAAGTACAAGTAAACATATTAATTTGCACATAAATATATATGATTTTATAAGTTCATATATTTGTTCTGATTAACAATATTGTTAATATATAAATAGCACTTATGTAACAGTCAAATGAAGGTGTCAGCTTTTAAATATGAATTTTTTTTCCTTATGTGTGTTCGGAAGATTGATTGCTTAGGAGGTGGAAGAATAATTGTTGTTAAACGTGGTTAAGGAAGACGAATTACGTATGGAGGCAGGTAATGAATTTCAGAAAAAGATATCTCGCATGACAAAGGATTTTTAAAGGTAACGTGGTAAGGTTCTGTGAGAGGGAACAAATAGGTTTATGGACTGGGATCTCGTGTTAAACATTGAACAGAGGAACAAGGAGTAAACAAATTAAGGAGGTAAGATGGCTTTTTGGTTTTAAAGGTTCGGAAAAGAAATACTCCTAGGAAATATTGCTGCCAGAGAACTGGATAGAGCCACTTCAACTCTGCACACTTACTGGAAATGTGGGAGCCTCTTGGGGCTCCAAAGATGAATCGTATGCAACAATTCATTAATCTCCTCAAACTGATCTCAAGCCCACCAGAAAGTCCATCGTATACAACGCAGCCACAATCGAAGTGAGGAAACTAGGAGTTGTCGGGTTTTTGGGGGCATAGAATCACGGAATCTCAGGAACTGTTTTAGGGTAGCAATGGATTTTCGGATAATTTGGGAAACATGATTATTCTAGGAGAGGTATTGATCGAAAATTACTCCTAAATTTCTACCAGAAGTATGGAAAGGAATAGGTAGTCCATTGAGGTAGAGAAGGGATAGTATGGGATGGAATTAATTAGATGCTTGGAACTAATGAGAATGGCTTTGGTCTTCTCGATGTCCAACTTTAAATCATTACTTGCTGCCCGAGTGGTACTACTGTTATATCTTCTTGTAGTCTTCGAATATATATATATATATATATATATATATATATATATATATATATATATATATATATATATATATATATATATATATATATATGGCAGTTCTTTATGGATGCGAAACTTGGCTGCTTACATTAAGGGATGAGCAGCGTCTTAAGGTTTTTGAAAATAAAGTATTGCGTAGAATATTCGGACCGAAGAAGGATGAGTTAACCGGAGAGTTCAGACAGTTACACAACGCCGAATTGCGTGAGCTGTATCCGGGTAATATAATTGAGGTAATTTCATCGCGGCGAATCAAATGGGCTTGTAAAGTTGTTGGACTTAGTAATGAGAGAATTCCTAAAAGGTTAATATTTGCTGTGTCGAATGGTAAGCGTCCGTATCATAGGATAGAGGGGTAGACCGAAGCGAAGGTGGGAAATGCATAGTTTTTGGAGTCATGCCCAAAAAAGTTCGGATATTTCGTTGTTTTTCGCATATATCTCAGAACGCAATAGAAAATTTGATTCAGCAACATCAAATTCAAATTCGGCATCCCAAAACACATATGAAATCCTAAGAGAAACCGATTATTTGAATTTTTTCCTCATCCAGCTACCATCCGACTGGTCTAATTTAATGACTTTGATGTCATCAGTTTTCGAAGTGCAACTGAGTACATCGTCAGCCAAGATGAATTCTCTTTTAGGAACTTATTCTTTATATCTTATCAAAATTAATGTCGTGAGTTCTTCTGTTAAATGAACAGTTAAATTTCACATCTTTAATTTACATTTGTGTATAAAAAGCAACAGCTTTCAACCGACTGACCGAAATTGTGTGTTCAGATAAGGCTTATCTAGAATTACAGTGGTTACTAGCTTAAGTTCTTCCATTAAATGAAATGATCGGTAGTTCCTAGTCTATTTCAAGGTTCCCCGAGTCTTTATAATTAAATATCACAAAAAGGTCTATGGGTCTGTGTTTATGTGAACACTTTAGTCAAAAACTAAAAGCCATACAGAACTGAAATTATGTATTTAACGTAGGTTACTCCTAGGATGTTACTGCAACCTTTTTACTCAAAATCCACTAACCAAAAATGGTACTTAATACTATCGATTTTGCATATTTTTACAATATTCTAAAAGATGGCTCTTCCTATTAATCTCGTCATGTTATAGATATTAGCTTTTCGCCACTCATCATTACATTCTATGACTTTATATGTTAGATATTAATTTCCCTAAAATATTAAGCTTGCCCATGGTATACCATACTTCTACATTACAACATTAATTTTTTTTTTTAAACTGAAAGTAAACTAGACAATAAAAAAATCGGCGCACCCTATATTTTGTTGTTTTTCCTATTTAACTCGAATTAGTTGATGGTTTTTTTTGGGTGTGCCAAGTTGAGCTCATATCCCATGAGCGAATAGCAGGGGGCAGATTAAAAAAAAAGAGGAAATACCCATAAAAAAAAAACTTTACTTACAAATCCTGAATATTGTGAAAAATTAATTTGATTCTTCTTAAAAAATTGGTGCAAAGTTAACAATAAACTTTTTTAGTATCGTGTGTTGCCTCCCCTTGCTTATATCACCGCCTGCATTCTTCTTGGCATGCTGCTGATTAAATTAGAAACCTTTTCCTACCCAATTTGGTCCCATTCTGTTACCACTGCGGTCCTGAGGCCTTAGAGGTCCAAAGGAGGGTTTGGACCCCTTCGGATGCACCTCCCTAGCTCGTCCCATAGATGTTCAATAGGATTGAGGTTCGGGGCTGCGGGCTGACCACTGTAGGGTGCGTATACCAACCTCTTCGAGGTAGTCAGTAACCACATGTGCAACATGGGGCCGCGCGTTATCCTGCATAAAAATGAAATTTTCACCGATGAATGGGGCGAATGGGACTACATAATCTTCCAGAATGTCAGAAATGTACCTGAGTGCAGTTAGGTTCCCTCTTGGAAAAACATGGAGGTCGGTTTTTGCTCCTGAAGTGATTCCGCCCCAAATCATTACAGACCCACCACCCTAAGGCACCCTTTCAGAAATATTGCACTGTGCAAAACGCTGTTCCGGCCTTTTCCACACTCTAACACGGCGATCTGAAGAAAATAATGAGAACCTGGACTCATCTGAAAACATTACTTGCCCCCAATCGTCTTCTGACCAAGCTACGTGTTCCCGAGCAAATGTAAGACGAGCTGTACGATGTGCTGTGGTGAGTTGAATCGCAGTAGCTGGGGCCCTCGATCAAAGGTTAACTTCAGCAAGCTGCCTATGCACTGTATCAACACTAATATTCACATTTCGGGCAATTCGAAGGCACTGAGTGGTTTCTACAGCCGTCTGAAAGTGGTTTAGCAGAGCCTGCATCGTAATAAATCGGTCGTCTGCGGGCACTGTCGCTCTCGGTCGGCCTGATCCTGGTCTCCTCTGGAAGCTACCAGTCTCCCTGTACCTTTGGACTGCCCTATGGACAGTAGTTTCTGGTAGCCCTAACGTTCTAGCCACATAACGTTGACTTCTCTCATCTTCTACCAACCTGACTATCTGGGCGACTGTTTCGGTGGTTAGAACCATTCCTCAGAACCGAACAAGCACAAAACAATCAAACAAATGAGTTGAAAGAAAAAAAACACAAATGTGATCTTAGTGCGAACGACAACTGAATAAATGACAAGTGATGAACTGAGGGAAGAACAGCAAATGCAACACTAAGAGGTAAACAGAGTCAAAGGTATGCATATTCGAATGTACCTTGAGGTAATCATACTGTGTTATTGTTATGAAAGACTATACTAACCATCTCGAAACAACAATTCATTTAAAACAAACATTGGACCTGGATTTCTACACAAACATGAGGTGTGCCTGTTTTTTTTGCTGTCTAGTTTATTTCTATCATTTTCTTTTGTTTTTAGATAATTTTCTAATTATTTGATTGTTCATATTTATCCATTTTGTATTACAACTAACAATGTAAGAACTTTAAATATTTCTAATAAACATACTTAGAGGATGAAATTTAAACCCTTATTTCTATGAGAATAAAATCTTCCTGATCTTGAAGAGCATTCAATTTTATATCAACATGACGAGATTAATACGAAGAGCCATCTTTTAGAATATTGTAAAAATGTGAAAAATCGATAGTATTACTATTATTAGTACCATTTTTGGTTAGTGGATTTTGAGTAAAAAGGTTGCAGTAACATCCTAGGAGTAACCTTTGTTAAATACATAATTTCAGTTCTGTATGGCTTTTAGTTTTTGAGCTAAAGTGTTCACAGAATAAAAATAAGATTTTATTTACAATTAAAATATTATTTTTAAGTTTTATAATTGGAGTGCCACCAAATTCGGTGGGTAGTTTCTCTTCATGTTGTACATGTCATGTTAATTATTTCATATTTACTAGTTGTATTTATCATTTAATACATGTAATCATATGACAGTTGTAAATTTCAATAATAAAAAAAAAGTTTTATAAACGTTTTTAAAAATTAATTTATTCTGAAAGTAGGGTGGTAAGTGAAAGTTGTGTGATGCAATGTACCTGATTTTACTATTGCTGTTTTCCAATTTTACATTATTTTAATATTATTAAATTGAATTTTTTCCAGGAAGGCATTATGGTGCTATTAGTTGTGAAGGTTGTAAAGGTTTCTTTAAGCGATCCATTAGAAAACGTTTGGGATATCAATGCCGAGGAAACCAGCAATGTGAAGTGACTAAACATCACAGAAACCGATGCCAATATTGCAGATTACAGAAATGTTTGTCCATGGGAATGAGAAGTGATTGTATGTGCCCAATCATTTAATTTTCATAAAAATAAATATAACATTATTGTACAATATTGGGGGGCCCGGTACATGCTGTATGACTGGGAGCCCTGTTCTTGTGATATAAAAAAGAAATAAAATAAACGGTAGATCAGACCACACGGGATCGAAAATCTGCGAAATGTGGGATTAGAATATGGTTCCTTATGAATTTATAATTTGAGGATATAATTACTAAATATATTTAACAAAATCGTAAATTGTGAAAGATCTAAACAGAGAACTTCGAAATTTGTCTGATTTTTATTTCTGTAAGAAAGATTTGAGAAGAAAAATATTTAAAGATTCAGAAGCAAATGTAAGATACGATAGATTATCATAAAACGAAATATAAATAAATATTCATGCATATAAATTAATGAAAGGTAAATAATTAAATAAATATTTATGCATATAAACTAATGAAATATAAGCAATAAAAAAAAAGTACTTATGCATATAAACTAATGAAATATAAATAATTAAATAAATAGCTATGCATATAAACAAATGAAATATATACAACTAAATAAATATTTGTAACAATAAATTAAACATGCGTGAAAAATAAGGTAATAAATATATATAAAAATCAACAACATGAAATAAAATATGAAAACATGCACACACTTAACATCAATAAATATATGAAAAAATATTGAAACAATTAAAATATATATATAAAGTTTGAATAAAATTGTTTATAAATTATACAATTTTAATAATAATACAAAATTTTAATAAGTGCAGTTATATTTTGTGATAGTCTGCATGTATATTATTGCGTCCGTATATGAACTAATACCAAACATACACATTTTTTTTCTTTCAAGTCAGATCACGCTAAATACATTTAAGCTGATAGCTGAAAAAATGTAATGCTAAGTCATTAATTCAATTCAATTATAAATCTATTATTATATAGCGATAAATGTTGTTATTTGGATGCTGGAGACTTAAAATACGTAAAGAAGGAAACATTAGATGCAGCGGCGGAAGTAAGCATAGCTGTTGTGCTTAATAGAATTAGGCGGCCGTGAATGTTGCTTCAAATAGTATTTGCTACAATACCCACTTGCTGGCTGCTTAAGCCGTTTAATATTTCATTAATTTTATTTATAATAATAAAAGAACACTTGATCCTTTAGTCCTACTTTTTTCCACCCAAAATTTTAGCCCTTTAGGCCATTTTTAAAGGAAGGAACATTTTAAGAAGCAAATATCACAGCCTTATTATAGTTCCATATTAATTATTTTATAGTTTATTATCCATTTAAATACCTTACTTTATAAAATAAAATAATTTGGCCTAATTCGCTTTTGTCGCATTCTTTTATCAAATATTATACCTCTTAAGGTTATGCTCATTCAACACATTTTCCATTGTCTATATAATCTTTTAAAACAAAAAGTATAATTAAACTAACATATTCAAACTTGTAGGTTGAGACATCATTTGTTTTTCTACACCAATGTTTCTGTACCCCTTAGGCCATTTTCAAGGGAAGAAACCTTTCATCAGAACCTAATTACATTTGCTCATTAATTATTTTAATTTTTATACTTTATACTACATACCTATTTGAAATAATTTTTAAACAACATGAACATAACCTTATAGAAGAAAGTTTTAGTATTTGATTAATTAAATGATGTTGACAAGGGTAATTCAGACCATATTGATTTTAATTCTTTTAAATATGTATTTAATATAAAGTATAAAATGAAAATAATTAATGTGCAAATGTAATTAGGCTGTGATGATTATTTGTTAAAAGTTTCTTCCCTTGAAAATTGGAACGTTGGTGTGGAAAAACAAATAAAGTAGGACTATGTGATCAATTATGTGTTTTTATTAATAATTATAATTTTGAAAATTAAATTGTTTCTGTTTTGTTTTATTAAAATTAGTTAAAACTTACAATTTATACTAAAATTTTACTCACAGCCTGATTTCTCAGTCAATTGTATTTTTAAACTATCCACCTTTTTTTTTTTAATTTAAATTTCTATTACTTTTATTTTATTTATGTGTTGAAAGAAAAAGGTATGCTGGGAAGTAATGAGGTTGGAAGAGATACAGGAGACGTTTTTGGCCAAAGAGTCAAGAAAGTTTTACAAAGGAATCAGACATCTCAAATCTCAGGATTTGAGACCTGACCGGAAAATTGTGAAGATTAAGTCAGAAATCTTGTTGGAAATCGGAAAACTGTTCTTGATACTTAGGCTGATCATTTTCAGGAACTCCTCAATCACCAAGTAAGCATGGATCATGAACCACAAGAAAGATTATATATCAATAGCCTCAAACCTACATGAAATGCAATGCAGACAAGGTGATTCCTTGACACCTTGTTTAATATAGGTTTGGAAATGGCTGTGAGATCCATTAGAACACATCCTGGAGGAATAATCATGAATAGATTATCATAGCACATGGTTTTGCAGACAATGTGGTTATCACAGGCAAAATCCTCACAATTAGTGTCTAAATCTTTCCAAAAATTTCAAAATAAAACATGTAAACTTGATCTTCATATCAGTATGGACAATACCAAATACATGAAATCCTTGTGAAGTGAAAAGTAAAAGCACCCTCACATAGAAATATGTAGCCAGAATTTTGAAAATTTGTACAAATTTAAGTATCTAAGGTCAGTTATCAAAGCAAAAAATAACATTAAAGAAAAAATAAAAGCAAGATTGGCAGTCAGCAGTAAGTAGGTGTTTGTATACATTCTGGAAGGCACTCCATTTTCGAAATCTCTCTCGTAAAGCCAAGTTGTTATTATATCTAACAATCTCCTGGCCACTGGTTATATATCACAGCGAAACATAGGTTCTGACTCAAGAAAATGGAAAAAAAAAAAAATATATATATATATAAAAGTGCGGGTAAAAGAGGCCCTACAAATGATAGTAAATGATTTGAGACAATGACAATCCGGAAAAAAATATGAAATAATGGAAAAGCTTGGTGAACCTGAAATTATGGTATTCATCATATCAGCAAGAATATTATGGCTTGGTCATGTGAAAATGTTGGTCAAATATGAGATGGCTTGATGACGTGGAGGCAGACCTGCGACAGATGAGAGTGAGGAGATGGAGATTTACAGCTTACAGGAACAAGTGGACGAGGATAATATTGTTATATTATAAATTTTATTTCTGTTTCCTCATTTTACTTTAACCCAATATTAAATGATGAACCACATTTATTTTATGTATATAAAACAGTATAAATCTCCTATTTAAGAATAATTTTGGATTAATAATATGTTACTATGATCTCATGCTTAATTTCAGTTTGTGAATCTTCCTTTGCATTGTTGTAATTATGTGATCTATTTTTTTTTTCTATTTAGCTGTTCAGCATGAAAGAAAACCAATATCTGTTAAAAAAGAATTTCCAAGTCAGAGTAACCAGTATAATCTAGGTACTATTACCAATAATGCTGTGAAACTTCTTATGAAAAGGGAGATTGGAGATGCATATTCCATGAATTTCCAAAATGCTGGATCTACCAATTTTAATATTCCTACTTCTTTTCCTTACAACATTTATTCAGGTAATTTTTCTTCTTAAAATTTTATTTCATCTCATAACTACAATAGGTTTAATCATAAGACTTAAATTTAATCTATTTTTTTATGTGAAATTATTTTATTTTTTAATTTAATTAATTAGCTATTGTTATTGATTCACTTTTATTTATGGAAGTATGTTTATGATTATAAAATGTATACAAAACAGAAAAATTATTTAGAAAAAGACAAACGTATTTGAATTAACAGTTTAAAAAAAATTATATCACTTATAGATTTAGCAGAAGTCCTATTTCAGTAATAAAATTAGCATTGTATTATAAATTAAATTTTACATTTGTACTATGTATTCGAGAAAGTTGTTATAATTATTTGTTGTGAAAAATTGAATTAAAAATTATAGAACACATTTATATTATGTCTAATAGATTGATAAGTATGCTTGTGTATTCAGCAACCCAATGTAGAAATATAGCATTTTTCTTTCAATAACTTGTGGCTTTTTTAAGCTATCAGTACCTCAAATGTTGCTGAACACTCAAAGATACATAAAGTAAGGGTTTAAGATGGCCAGATTCTAGCCCTTATCTCTGGAGTGGATAATAGCAAAAGAAAGTAAAACAAATATAGGAAGTTAATTTTTTTTTTAATTTGTCTTTTTTCCTCAAATAAACAAACAAATATATATATATATATATATATATATATATATATATATATATATATATAAACTAATCTGTAATATAGTAGTTGAAATGCAAATTTAATTATTACACTAATAAACATGTAAATGATTTGTCTGAAGTGTATTTTCTTGTAAGTATTTATTTTACTTTATTCTTTTAGTTGTCCATGTTTGTAACAGTTATTACTTCATTTCCATAATTTATTGCATTCTATTTATTATTAAATTTGATTATATTTATAAGTTTTGTTTGTTATTAGTTAATGGTTCTTTATTGTTTATTAAAAATAATACAGATGGTGATAGCAACAAACATGAATCTGCCAACACTATTTCAACTTATGATGACACCAATTATGATGAATCATCGGATAGTGATATTGTTGAACCACTTTGTGCAGTTCGAGACAGTAAAGTAATGATAAATAATACCATGGAGATAGTCACAAAACTGGTACTATTTGAAATAAATTAGTTAGTTTTAAAAATTAATAAAATTATTATTTTGTAGCATTTTAATAATTAATATATTCACTGTATTGTCTGTTTGATGTGCACATTCAATCATCTACTATTTGTAAATATTTATTTATACATAAACCCAAATGCTTGTTGTTAACACAAAGGAAAAATCCGTACATAACCTTTTAGAAAGTCCCATCCATTAAGATTAACATCCCTTTGTTCAATTACCTATTTGCTTATGTTAATTATCTGTTGACATTTATTATTTTTATAAAAAATTTGTAATTGAAGTATTATATTTTTCAATTTACAAAACTAAAAATTTGGTTCGTGCATCACACGACTTTCACTTACCATCCTCTTTTTAACAGAAATGAGTATTTTCAGACAAAGGGGAAGGGAAAATAAAAATTATTGATGCTATATTTCTTTACAATTCATTGTGGGTATTTTTATTTGTTTAAATATCCTTATATATACAAATTTAAATTTTTATATCGCTGCATTCTATACAATTGAATATTAAATAATACCAATGATAGCATTTATGAAAACCCCATATGTATATGAACATAATATTGTCGGAGCTCATGTTACGTATGGAAGCCTGTTGTAATCTTTCAGGTGATCTCAGGCAAGCTCCTTTGATTCCTCTATTACAATTCTACAATATTGGGGGACCCGGTACATGCCATATGCCTGGCAGCCCTTTTCTTGTGATACATAAAAATAAATGTTCTGTGGAGGAATACTTGTGAATAAATAAATATATACGTACAGTTTGATGAGGGGGGCGGTCTCGCGCCTTCTCTCTCTATCGGCCGTTCGTCCAGGGTCCTGGAAATAGTATAGCTGAAGGGCTGTAACTCTTGAAATCTGGTAGAGTAAGTAGGCTGTAAGCCGTCTTGTTCTATGCTTCGTTCGCTAGTATCTGACCCTTAGCCGTAGATAACGCCGTCTTAGAGAGGGGATAGTGCAGGATGACACCGGGGGTCCCCGTGTAATTTATACAATTCAAGTAATATATGATGCTCAAATAATATTAACAATAAAAATTGTGGATGTAAATCCAATAACAACTATTATCTGTTACGATCTCTTATTTCTCCTTTAGTTAATTATAAAATTCTTTTATATTTTAATATTTTTTATATCAAATATTAATCTGAAATGGTTAATTATTTCAAATAAAAAAAATAAAGGTACTTTAGAGGAAGCCAATATTGAAAATTAGCCATTTAAGCCCTGATAGAAAGCATCAATGAGAATAAAACCTACATTATATTAAAAATTGCTTAATAATACACTGATATACTGAGTTTTATCAAAATAGTTAGTCTTTTTTGAGAAAATGGTAAAAATATGTTAAAACAATTATATAAAGTACCACTTCCGGTTTGCTGATTTTGACGAAAATGTTGCTGTAACATCGAAAGCTTATATAAACCTTAAATATGCAATTTCACTTTTATATGATTTTTTGTTTTTGAGTTAGACTGATAACATACATACACACACACACACGCATGCACACACACAGACATGCACACATACACACAGACCATTTTGCGGGACTTGGTTATTTGGACTCAGAAGATCTCAAAACATGTATTTCTGTTGAAAACTAAGGCTCAAAAATTTTGCAAATGGAGTTATCGGATCCCTCTGCCTCAAATGTGGCTGAGAGTCAGAAACCCCAGCTCATGTACTGGGAAAATGTCTGAATAACGTGCTTCTTGTCTCCCATTGGCACAATAATGTAAAGCATCGAAGTGTCGAATTCCTAGAGATGAAAAAGTATAGATGCTTCTTGTAAGTGTATTGCCTTGATACGGAAAGTTCAGCGAGATTCATACATATCTTTGCCTTTAATGCAAAAGGAAAAGAGGCTCTGATAATTGGTCCTACTATTAGGTTTGAAACAAATGATGAGGATCAATATCTCAAAGTACAAAAAGAAGGAAGAAATCTATAAAAAATGTATACTGTATCTACAGGAGAAATATAGAGAGGAATTTGGTGAGGGAGAATATTCGGTTCGAGTACTATTGTTCGGGAGTAGGGGAGCGATTCCACCTTCTACTTTTTTTTGTTATGTACATGACCATTATTAATTTAGAAAAAGAAAGATCCTAATTACCTATATGAAATGGTGTTTAAATGATTCTTGTAGTCCTAGTAAATGTAATTACACAAACAATAATACTTTTAGAGATGATTTTTTACATAAGGCATTGTTATATTATACCATTTAGCTTGAATGTCAGAGGATGAGATCCCTAGAAAAATAATGAGCGAGACCATTCATAGTACGAAGTGTAGAGGAAGACCGTGTCTTGGCTGGATGGGGTTCAATGGCCTGGATGATCCTGGTTGTCAGGTACTGGAGAACTGCTGCCCAACGATGGGCAGACTGGCAGAAATTATTGGAGAAGGCCAGGGACCAGTAATGGTCTGTCGAGCTAATAGAAGAAAAATATAGTATCCCCCCTCTCACCATGAAGAGGCAGAGTCTTAGTATGTTTACCTCCTAAGTATTCTCAACAAATTTCAAAGTCAAATGCTTCTTCTCCCCATGCGCTCTACAACTTCTTCATTGACTGGACAATAAAGTGTTGTTCGAAATGGTAATTATAACTAAAACAATACTGCAATTCGTTTTTCATTAAAAATCTTGCCTAATATTTTAATCATAGTCCACTTGTCCCCAACTGTTTCAACTTATGCTTTTTGTGATTATTTTTTGGTGTTAAATGTAAAATCGTTTGCACCATATTAGTTCATTTTTAGTTAAAATATTTTTTAGGATGTCTCTTGTATCTTTTGTGAGAACAGTCCTCCCTGATGAAGGCCTGAAACTTAGGCCAAAATGTTGGCATGAAGGAAATTAAAATAAATATATTTTTTAAATTTTTACTTTATTCTTTTTTTGACTAAACAGCCCAATTAATTTCTCTTCAATAAAATATTTTTTGTATTATTATTTATAATTTTGAAGTATAAGAATTATAAATTATTATTTTTTTAGGGCATGAATGGAAATTTTTCAAATTCTGATGATGAAGAGCAGGAAAATCTTCAATATGATGGAAGGTTGCTTGAAGACAATATTTGTAACTTTCATATCCAAAGCCCTTCCCCTACCCCTACTTATATCGATGTCCATTATATTTATGAAAGTGCTTCTCGATTGTTATTTCTATCTGTTCATTGGATTCGGAATTTACCTGTTTTTCAGATTTTTAAGTGAGTAAAATTTATTATATCTTAAGAATATTTTTAAATGTTCATATTTCTGATTACTTGTTAGTATTAAATTTTAAATCTTCATTTTATTTTTAAATAAAAATCAAATTTACTTAAAATTTTGCAGCTAAGATATATTTGTATGTGTTTCTATGGGTGACTATTTATACACTGACAGGCAAAAAATTCCACTCACTTGATTTTTTCATCTAAAAATATTTCTGCTTTGGATTGGTCTATTGTTTTTAATGAATAAATAGGTAATCTTTTTGTTTGTTTTCAATTAGGAATGTTAATATAGAGGACAATAACTCTTAATCCTTAATTCAATGAAATGATTCTAGATTCCAAGATTCCAAAACGAACCATTATTATTCTAAAAGAAATTAATTACATCATCGTTTAGTAGTGCGTGTTTCCTCCTCTTGCCTTCACTACTTCTTGAAGATGCCTCGGCATACTTTCCACCAGTCGGGAAATGTCCCTTTGCTGGAGGATAGCCCATTCCTCCCGAAGAGCCCTTGCAAGGTCCTGCAGTGTATCAAGAAGTGTTCCACTCGCTCTTATTCGTCTTCCGAGGTTATCCCATAAATGCTCAATGGGGTTCAAATCTGGAGAAGGTGCTGGCCAGGCTAAAACTTCAACATGCGGGCGACATGTGGGCGTGCATTATTGTGCATTAGAATAGAACGATCGCCGATTTCGTTGAGGATAGACCTGGGCACTCTTGAAATAATTTATTTCTGAAATAATTCACATGGTTATTCTACGAATGAATTATTTCGGGAATAACGGTTATTTCTGAAATAATATTTCAAACAGTCAACGAAATAATCTCGATGGAATAACTCTGAATTTATTTCTGAAATAATTATTTCACTATTTGAACATTCTTTGGAATAATGTAAATTATTTCGAAATGAGTTATTTCTGAAATAAATTATTTCATAACTATTATTTCAGGATTATTTATTTCATAAATAAATTATTGCATAAAATCAAGAAATAAATATTTCAGAAATAACATTGTTCTGAAATAACATGAGTGTGCCCGAGAGCAATTTCTTTTTTTCAAATGACGTTTTTTCGTTTCCTAGGCTTAGGCGGGTTTAATCGATATCAGGGTGGCCATTTACGTTTTCGGGGTATCTTTTTATGAAAATACTGTTGAATTTGCGATTGCGCCCCCCCCCCTCATCCGCATCGACTTTTTGTAACTTTTCCGATTTAATCGATAGCAGGGTCAATTATTATGTTTTCGGGGTCGCTTATTATGAAAATACTGTCGAATTTGCGATTGCGTCCTCTCCACTCACCCGCTTCGATGTTTTGTAACTTTTCCGATTTAATCGGTATTAGGGTCGACTATTATGTTTTCGGGGTCGCTTATTATGAAAATACTGTCGAATTTGCGATTGCGCCCCTCCACTCACCCGCTTCGATGTTTTGTAACTTTTCTGATTTAATCGATATCAGGGTCGACTATTATGTTTTGGAAGAATGAAAATACTGTCGGATTTGAGTTTAGAGATGGACAGAAAGTAATGTGATTAAAAACTACAAATAACAGAATACTTCACACAAATAATCACGCGGTCTAAGTACTTGACATTATTTTTATAAAAAGCGCCCCCGAAAACATATTAGTCGATCCTGATAAGGATTAAATCCTAAAAGTTACAAAAAGTCGATGCGAGTGAGGGGGAGGGGGGTGCAATCCAAAATTTGGTAGTATTTTCATAAAAAGCCCCTCTGAAAACATAATAGTCAACTCTAATATCGAATTAATCTGAAAAGTTACAAAAAGTCGATGCAGAAGGGTGGGGGGTGGCGCAATCCAAAATTTGACAGTATTTTCATAAAAAGCGCCTCTGAAAACATATAGTCAACTCTAATATCGATTAAATCGGAAAAGTTACAAAAACTCGATGCGGGATAGTGGGGGGGGGGCACAATCTCAAATTTGACCGTATTTTCATAATAAGCTACCCCGAAAACATAATAGTCGACCCTGATATCGATTAAATCGGAAAAGTTACAAAAAGTCGATGCGGGTGAAAGGGGGGAGGCGCAATCTCAAATTCGACCGTATTTTCATAATAAGCTACCCTGAAAACATAATAGTCGACCCTGATATCGATTAAATCGGAAAAGTTACAAAAAGTCGATGCGGGTGAGTGGGGGGGGCGCAATCTCAAATTCGACTGTATTTTCATAATAAGCGACCCCGAAAACCTAATAGTCGACCCTGATATCGATTAAATCGGAAAAGTTACAAAAAGTCGATGCGGGTGAGTGAGGGGGGAGGCGCAATCTCAAATTCGACCGTATTTTCATAATAAGCTACCCCGAAAACATAATAGTCGACCCTGATATCGATTAAATCGGAAAAGTTACAAAAAGTCGATGCGGGTGAGTGGGGGGGGTGCAATCTCAAATTCGACCGTATTTTCATAATAAGCGACCCCGAAAACCTAATAGTCGACCCTGATATCGATTAAATCGGAAAAGTTACAAAAAGTCGATGCGGGTGAGTGGGGGGGGGGTCGCAATCTCAAATTCGACCGTATTTTCATAATAAGCGACCCCGAAAACCTAATAGTCGACTCTGATATCGATTAAATCGGAAAAGTTACAAAAAGTCGATGCGGGAGAGTGGGGGGAGGGGCGCAATCTCAAATTCGACCGTATTTTCATAAAAAGCGCCTCCGAAAACATAATAGTCGACCCTGATATCGATTAAATCGGAAAAGTTACAAAAAGTCGATGCGGGAGAGTGGGGGAGGCACAATTTCAAATTTGACATTATTTTTATAAGAAGCGCCTCCGAAAACATAATAGTCGACCCTGATATCGATTAAATCGGAAAAGTTACAAAAAGTCGATGCGGGAGAGTGGGGGGGAGCACAATTTCAAATTTGACATTATTTTTATAAGAAGTGCTCCCCCCCAAAAAAAACATAATAATCGTCCCTACACTGGGTGGTTAGGTTTTTTTTGTGGACTTTTTTCTAATAAAAGTCCTTAAATCATAAAAGTAATCGAGTACTGCCCATCTCTAGTATGGGGGGGGGAGGCGCGAGTAGCGAAAAGTAATTTTTGTGTGAACAATACTGTTTTTATTTTGGTTATTTTAAACGTTTTTGCAGCTATCAATTCCTGAAATGATCATTTCAGATATCGTTATTCCTGAAATAATTTATTTCCGAAATAATCATTTTGGAAATAATGGTCAGGTTATTTCATGAAATAAATTATTTCGGAAATAACTATCGAGGTTTATTTAGGGATTTATTCCGGGAATATTTTTCAAATAAATTCTGCCCAGGTCTAGTTGAGGATAGGCAACACATGAGGTTCCAAAATCTCTTCTACATAGCGAATGGCCCTCAAAGACCCTCCATGAACAACAACCAATTCTGTGCTGCGCTCCATTGAAATCCCAGAAATGCCACACCATTAAGGAACCACGTTGGAAAGGTTGGCTCTGGGAAAAATTACAGGCTCCATATCTTTTGTTTCCTCTTCTTAACACCCTTTCACGCCCGTCTGGAGATCGAAGAGCGAATCTTGACTCATCTGTAAAAAGTACAGCACTCCATTCGTCCATAGTCCAATGGCTGTGCTCTCGAGCAAAAGCCAGCCGTGTTACTCTGTGAGCTCTGAACACTCTGGTCCTCTTACTGGACGAAAAGCCATTAATCCATACTCAATTAATCTTCTCCAAGTGGTACGTTCAGAAATTTGCATACCTCGAACTTCTTCGAGCTGATGAACCACTTGAACAACGGTAAGGTGCCGGTTTCGTAAAATTCTCAAAGTCAAAAACCGGTCATTCCGTGATTCTGTTGTTACCCTAGGCCGTCCAGAACCGGGCCTTCTATTGTAAGAACCAGTTTCCCGAAAACGCCTGACAGCGTCTCGTAAAGTTTCATATGGAACTCCGATGGAATTAGCAGCATATCTAATGGAACGTTCATCATCAATAAGTGCCACACCACGCGCAACATCCTCAGCACTAAGAGGCATTTTTAAATTTAATATTGAAAAAATTAAAAGCCGGAGACTAAGAAATGTGCTTCAAGAAACGGTACTGAACTAATGATAATGAATAAACATTTTGATTCCATAGAAAGTAAACATCAGTAGCACCTTAGGGTGTACTGATAAATGTTAGCCTAGGAGTCCCCTTAAATTTTTAAAATTTTTTATGTCTGGTACTAAAATCCAACATGGCTGTCAAAACGATGAAATGCCAATCTAGAATCATTTCATTGAATTAAGGATTAAGGGTTATTGTCCTCTATATTAACATTCCTAATTGAAAACAAACAAAAAGATTACCTATTTATTCATTAAAAACAATAGACCAATCCAAAGCAGAAATATTTTTAGATGAAAACATGAAAAAATCAAGTGGGCGGAATTTTTAGCAAGTAATTTTTTCTCTCTTTCCTTTTTTTAAGACTGCTTGCAGGCCTAGTAAGAAGCATAATAATTAGAAAGAAATTATGATAACAAACTCACCTCAGAGTAAAAATAGTTAAGTTACAATAGTATGACAAAAACTTTAATCAAATGTTCTGAGAAAGAAAAATATATCCGTCAAAATTGGAAATATAATTATATAGGTAAATTTGAACATTTCTGAATATCAGCCAGGCTGTCGTATGGGTTGTAGGTGCCTGAAATAGTACTGGTGGGGAGAAATAGTCCGGCAAGTGGACCACATGGTTTTTTTCCCATAGTCAGTTGGCTGAACGTAATTTCCGTTACATGGCAGATAAAATCACCAAATTTGGTGTAACGGCACCTTAGGGTGTACTGATAAATGTTAGCCTAGGAGTCCCCTTAAATTTTTAACAATTTTTATGTCTGGTACTAAAATCCAACATGGAAGTCAAAACGATCAAATGCCACTTTTAAACCATCTATTTTTTATTGTTAATTTGAAATTACTAAGGATAGGAAAAACCTAACCGGATAGTATAAATAAAATGCAGTAAAATATTTGTATATGTTCTGATCTATCCAAGCGCAAGTAAAATTTATTTTAACGGTTGCCTACTGAATTTCATTGGATGAATAGCAATAAACAGTTTTGGTTTGTTATTTTCAATAACGAACCTTTGAAATCGATGAGGAAACTATCTCCAAATTTCAGGGTTTGGTTTCAACATGCATAGCATCCTTAAATTGAATTTTGAAAAATACATTTGTTCGTGGCTATTTTCAGAAGGAATTTACAGTTTATGCTGAGATTATCCAAGAAATTCTGCAATACCATCCACCATTTCATTTCAAAATGGTTGACGAAAAACCTGTGTGAACGATAATTACCCCAAAGCGATTATATCATGATTTTGATAAAAACTTGACATAGATCTTCTCCTTGAAGCTGTTTAAATTTATATATATTGAGGAGGCTAAGGACCGCACCGGTCTGTATTGTCATGGAGGAGTAGTAGTAGTAATATACATGTATAAAGCATACTTCTCCAAAAAAAATTTAAGAAGCTATGATGAATCAAAATTTTATTTATGAACAGCTCAGAAACTATAAACTTTTTTTGATTTATTAATTACCTTATTAGAGTTAGCAACATTTTTTGGTTTAATATTTTAAATAATAAACCTTCTTAATATTAGTAAAATTAAAAAAAAAAGAATAAACTAAAAGAAATCCGTTCATCTGTCGTCCACTGCTTTTCTCTATTGGACCAATTATTTTTGAGATTTGGCACAAAAGCCACAACTCATTCTACTATGAACATAGAAACTCGACATTATTATCAGCTGTTTTGTTTGCCAAAAACCCTGTGTTTCTATAGGCTGTAGTTCCAAAACGGCTGTAACAATTTTGATGGAACAAGCCTAAAGTCACTTCCTTGAAATTTCTCAAATTATATATCTATATGACTATCTCTCTCTCTCTCTCTCTCTCTCTCTCTCTCTCTCTCTCTATATATATATATATATATATATATATATATATATATATATATATATATATATATATATATATATATATATATATATAATAAAATGAAAAAATACATTTTTTTTAACGTAAAGTTATTTTACAAGTTGCCATCATGTATAATTCAATGTATAAATAAAAACATGTTAATGGAAATCGAAGTGCCATTTTGCTATTTGCTCAGAAAGTGATTATTAATTAAATATACATTAATAACATGTTTATTTCATACATTCATCATTGAAGTTCATTTACAAAATAATCACATTTTGAACAAAAATTGAAACTTAACATAAAAAGTTAAAACCCTTTCACATCCTTCAGTATTAAATGATTCGACTATATTTTAGTGTGTTTTATTTAATAAACGTTTAGTGTACTGAGAAAACCTACAGCTGTAATTGAATATTAACAGTAAAATAGATTTTCTTAAATCATTAAATCTCCAAATCGGTCATTCGTCTATTTACTCATGTTTTTGTGGTTTTGCCTTTATACTTCTTTTTATTTTTTATTTTGTTCTTGTTCTCCCCTACCTTGCATTTTTAGGCCGGCTATACCAGGGTTTTCCCGGGCCAGGGAGTGAGGGCGGGTAATTTAAAAGACCCCCAGGTACCGGGACTTGTAATTTTATTGTCTCCCAAACTTTGGTTATCAGGTTGACCAGACAACTCTCGGTGCTGTGCACACACGTTAGCTTGTTCAGCCACCGCATCCCCTCCTTTATACTTCTATCAATGCACAATTAATTTTGTATCTCTAGTTAGCTTGTAATTTTAATTTTTATGAACAGAATTATACTGGTTTTAATTTTAGTTCCCAATAAGTCCCATATGCTCCATTGGTCTTTTCTTTGAACAGATGCTGGAGGCGACTTCTCTGGTTTCCCCACTCACATGCACCCCTAAATATCAGCATTTCTTTTTTGACTCTAAAAGAATAAGTCTAAACTAAATGAAAAGTATTTAAAATAAATCTAGAATAATGGTTGTTTACAATTTTGATTTTACGCTTGATAGTTTTACTGTATTATTTATTTTAAGTTTAATAAGCTTTTAGTTGACTCTTAAAATATTTTTTTTAGTACTGAAACACAAATTTCACTGGTTAGAAGTTGTTGGAGTGAACTGTTTGCATTGGGACTATCTCAGTGTGCACAAACATTGGCTTTCCCTTCTATAGTTTTGTCAATTATAAATCACTTACAGAACTCAGTTGCACATCAGAAGATATCAGCTAGAAGAGTTAAAGCAGTATGTTTTTTGTTTTTAATTTTTTGTAATTTATTTAACACGTTGAATGCCCTCCTACGAGATAACTCGTAGTTATTGTTCTTGGCTTCGACGTCAACTGCAAGTTATCTCATAGTTTGTTTTTCTGCCTTAGTTTTGTAGCTATGTTGTGATTCATAGTGCCTTTTGATTATTACTATGTATTAAAATTAAGAGTTTTTAATAATGTGATGTGGTTAAATTAAATTGTTTTTTTAGACTCAAATCCAGAAATGTACCGTGGCAGTCAACATATTAAATAATAGAGAGAAGAATAGTTGGAGTGATCAGTCAAATAAGAAGGCAAAAATAAATGATACTATTTATTTTGACATTAGCCGACGTTTCGACCTGAAGTTCAGGCCATCATCAGGGCTGATTACGGAGATGTAAATCTACGCAATGGATGTACATCTCCGTAATCAGCCCTGATGATGGCCTGAACTTCAGGTCGAAACGTTGGCTAATGTCAAAATAAATAGTATAATTTATTTTTACCTTCTTATTTGACTGATCACCCCAACTATTTTTCTCTCCATTATTCACGACAGTCAACCATTTACCAATTATATTAAATAATAATTATAATTTTTACTGTACTTTTATATCTAGAATAATGGAGTATTATTATATTATTATTACAATGGTGCTATAGTCCTGCAAGAACCCGGGCCTCCTCCACTACAATCAACCAATCTTCACAGTCTTGTAATATTTCCCTCCGTCTTTGAACGCCTATCCCTCTCAGATCGTCCTCCACATCTTCCAGCCATCTGATCCGAGCGCATCCTCTACTTCATTTCCCATCTGGCTTCTCATACAGCATTCTTTGGTCGGTAATTCTTTGCACATGATCTATCCATCTTATCCTGGCTCTTTTGTATCAATGCCACAATATCAGATTCTCCATAAAGTTCCCACAGCTACTCATTCTTTCTTCTTCTCGAAATTCTATTATCAGAAATTCCACCCCATATTCTTCTCAATACTTTTCTCTTCCAGAAGTTAAGCATACGTTCTGAATTTTAGGTTAAGGTCCATGTCTCACACCCTTACATAATCACTGGTCTTACTATGATTTTGTAGACGAGGATTTTGGTTCTTTTAAAGAGTGATCTGCATTTCAAATTTCTTTGCAGTGAGAAATAACATCTATTTCCTGCTGCTCTCCTAGCCTTTATTTCACTCTCCATTTTGTTATTGCTGGTGACCAGGCTTCCTAGGTACTTGAACTGGTCAACAGACCTAAAGTTGTGATCCCTTAAAGTTATTTCCGTATTCACATCCTTTTCCCTTCTTTAACTTTTCATGTACACCGTCTTATTTCCATTATCTCTAGTTTAGCCATTGCTTCTTCGAATTCCTAGAAAGTTCCTGATAATGCTGCTTGGATTCTATAGGTTATGCCAACATAGTCGGCATATGCCAGATGTTGGGATAGACGATTGTAGATGGTTCTTCCTGGATTTGTTAGAATAGAATGAATAGTCACTTCAAGGCTAGATTAAAAATCAGGGGAATAGAGGATCACCCTGTCTCAATCCGTTATTTACCTCAAATTCTTCGGACAATGAATTTGCAGGTTTCACTGAACAGGTAGGCTTCATTAGTATCATTTTTGTTAATCTGACCAGTTTCTTGGGTATGCCTACATCTATCATAGATTTCATGATAATAGGAAATGGAACATTACCTTTCTGTCTACACTGTTAGTCCACATAGAGAAGGTGCATGTCTATGTTAAATTCATAATATTTATTTTTAATGGAGTAGTTTTACATATATTTAATAAACAAGTAAGTTAAATATAATATACAGTGAAACTTCTCTTCACGGATACTTTTCTATTGCGGACTTTTCTTGAAAGCAGACAAATTAAAAATCTTGATCTGATTTCAATAATTTTATTGTATAAATGACTTCTTCATAATGGATTTGGACAGCCTTGATGCAAGGATTTTGATGAAAAATTTCTCTATAACTAACAGCATGAAGGTAATGGGGCTCATATCCTGAGATCATTTATCAAATTTATAGTAGCATAGTACATTTATGTATACTAAGAATTTTATTTTGATATAGAGGTTCTTGTTTTAACTTATTGTTGATCTTCAGTTTTGATTTTCAACATGTCAATTTGCTTCATGTTAACTTTCAAGGAAAAAAGTTTTGTTTTAATAAATGTATGTGAAAAATTTCGTATTCAAAATTTAGATTCTCAATTTAAAATAGAAATGTTAATGCCAAAAAATAATTTCCTGTAACTTCAGGTTCTTCGTAAGTAACTTATGAATGATTTTGCCAAGCTTTTACCTCAACCCTCAAGCGTTCATATTACAATTTCGTACAATTATACTATCACTATACCTGTGAGGTGACTATACATTTTTGTGGTCTCTTAGTCTTCCAAATGAACTTATTTTACCTAGAAATAATTAATAGATCACAAAATAGTACATTAAATATCGATAAAAAGTCATGTTAGTTATTTGATCTCTGATTATAATTCAGAAACAGATGATCCAAGAATTAGTTAAACATAAAAATTATCAGATTAAAATTGTATTTTGTGTCTTATACATTAAATAATTTATTCATTTGAAATACATTTTCATTTCTAAATTTACAATTTAATTATATTTTTTATGATAAAAGTGCACATGTAAATCATAAACTTGTAAAAAAAATAAATAAATTTCAAATTGATTAGAATAGTAATCTGTAATTTTTGTTTGAACTTTTCAATTTTAACTAATTTGTTTTCCAAATTGGATTAGATAGATTATATCAATACTAATCCTTCACTGTCTTCCTATAAAATGAAAATTTGTTTCAGTCAATTAATTCGTGATTAGTAGACAGACTAACTCTTCCATTTTTTGCTTCATTCCTAACAAAATTAAGAATCTTTATGATTTAATATGGAAATAATTTAATTTATTCCTTAACGATTAATTTGTAAAAATCTTAGTGAGGTGAATTTCTTTGATAAACAGACTTAATGGCTTAATTTACATTATAACTAACAAACGACAGTTAAACATACCTCATTACAAGATTTACCAAACTGACCATCCTGATGGAACATTACATTGAAGCACTGCCGTCATAATCCATCAATCTCTCTCCCATCATTTTTATCCTTTACCAGCACATAATTTCCTACCAACCTCAGCAGTAGTAATCCAAACCTCACTTTTTCCTGTCACAGTTGTCACAGCATACTCTCCACCTAAAATAACAGTACCTGCATCTAATTTTATTTCCTTTCTTAATTCCTTACGACACCATTTCCTCATAGTTGCAGACCTTAATGCTAAACATCAGCAATGGGGAGCTAGAATCACGAATTCTTGTGGCCGAACATTATTGTCTGCACTTAATTCCCACAATAGCAACATCCTTTCCCCTGATACTCCTATATACTGGCCAACTGATCCTAACCGCAATCCTGATCTCCTTGACTTCTTCATTCACAAAGGTCTAGGGCAGCTAAACTTCTCAGTTTTACGGCTCGATGACCTTTCCTCAGACCACAGTCCAGTAAGCCTAACCCTTTCCGCATTTCCTATCCTTCGATTATCCCCTTCCTTCATTCATCAGAGGCCCAGTCAACTGGAACCTTTTCCGCCAAACAATAATTGATGCAATAGACCTCAGAGTATCCCTAAAATCCCCTCAAGATCTAGATAATGCAGTGAGTTCCTACACCACTTTGATCCAACAAGCAGTCTGGACTGCATCCTCACCACTCCCTTCCAAAGAAACGCTTAAAAAGATTCCTTTACCCCAAAACCTTACTGACCTCATTAAATCCAAACGCCAATCTAGGACCCTCTGGCAAAGAACCAGGCATCCTGATGATCGGAAATTATACAATTATTATTCCAAACAGGTTAAAAAAGAACTGGCTTCCTTTAGATCCCAATCCTGCAATACCTACCTTTCTTCCCTCTCCACCGAGGACAACTCCCTCTGGAAATCGACCAAAAAGATCCTTAAATACCACTCTATTTCCCATCCCCTTCGATGTGATGATGGAACCTGGGCTTCGTCAGATGAGACTAGAGCTGAAGTATTTGCCTAACACCTATCCAACACATTCACTCCTCATCCTGAATTCCATCTCACCCACACTGCTAAAGTTAAAAAATTCCTTTCTTCTCCGATTCCTCTCTCTTTGCCTCCTAAAGCAGTGAGCCCCTCTGAGGTCAAATTCCTTATAAACAACCTAAAACCCCAAAAATCCCCTGGACATGATCTCCTTACTTCCCAGATCCTTAGACTACTTCCCAAAAAAGCAATCATATTTCTTACATTCCTATACAAATGTATACTCCGTACAACTCATTTTCCTCTGATATGGAAACACTCCATAATCATCCTCTTCCCTAAACCAGGTAAACCTGTTCACAATACCTCATCCCATAGTCCAATAAGCCTGCTCCCGATTCTCGAAACCCTCAATATCCCTTCTCAACAGTTTGGATTCCGCTCAAGACATTCCACTGTTTAACAAGGCCTTCGCGTTGTTGACCTTATATCCTCTGCGCTTGAAAACAAGCAATATTGCACTAGTGCCTTTCTGGACATAGCGCAGGGTTTCGACCGGGTATGGCACGATGGCTTGCTTTTCAAACTCAAAACCCACTTACCCCAATCCTTGTACCTAGTCCTTAAATCCTACCTTTCAAATTTTTCCTTTCAAGTCAGCTGCGGCACCGAATTCTCCAATTATTATCCAGTTGAGGCTGGTGTTCCCCAAGGCAGTGTCTTAGGCCCAGTTCTCTACATTCTTTTCCCAGCTGACATACCAACCCATCCTGATTCCCTTCTAGCAACATTTGCTGACGATACTGCCATCCTGTCATCCCACGCAGACCCTGGAACAGCATCTCTGAACCTACAAAGACACATCTCCCTAATAGAGCAGTGGTGCAACAATTGGCGCATCAAAATCAATGAATCCAAATGCAAGCAGGTCACCTTTACCCTCCGACACAGATCCTTTCCACCTATCCTTTTCAACTCAGTACCTCTTCCCATCTCAGACACAGTTTTGTATCTTGGATTCCTTTTAGACAAAAGACTAACATGGAACCCACATACCAGACTAAAATGACAAGAACTTAACCGACGATTTGGTCAGTTATATAGACTACTTAACAGAAAATCTAACCTCTCAATTGAAAACGAACTATTAATATACAAGACCATACTGAAACCCATCTGGACCTATGGACTTGAACTGTGGGAAACAACTAAATTTTCGAACATCAAACGCATCTAATCCTTCCAGTCCAAAGTCCTTCGTACAATAGTAAATGCTCCTTATTATGTTACAAACAAAACTCTACATCATGATCTTAACATCCCTTATGTCCTTGACGTTATTCCATCCCGTTTCTCAAATATTCATCAAAACCTAATCCATCATCATAATCCCTTAGCACAATCTTTATCCAGCTCCAGCCATCCCTACAATTCTCCTCAAAGGTTAAAAAGGCAGCGGTCTCGAGATCTTTTGTAAATACGTCATGGGAATCCTGGCAATGGCCAGTTTCTCCACTCAAGTCATGAGCGTATGTGGCTTTAGCGCCCTTTCTCAATCTTCACTGGATCTTCATCTCAGTGATGCGGCTGAGAGAGAAGCGCTGGGATCTCTTAGAGTCTTGCTTTATCTTCCACACGTGGGGGAAAGGTAAGCCCGACTTGGAGCTCCCTCGGCTGACTGTAAATATTGTAAATAAGCTTGAATGTTTTATTTATTTATTTTTCTCATTTATTTTTGTTTTGTTTTTATTTGTGTTATATCATATTTTATTTCATCTGTTTTACTAAGGTTTCTTTTTCTTATTTTTGTTATAATTTCTGTAATTGTATATATTGTACGAATGAGTTTCTTATATCTCAAATACTTAATACCCTTGATTGAGACAAAATGTATTTTTTTTTCAATAAAAAAAAAAAAAAAAGAAAATTTATGTTAAGTAAGGAATTATAATTAAAAAACCTGCAGCATACTTTATATCTTTCAAATAGCATGGGAGATATTTGTGATCTAATTGCCATAAAAAGTTTTTCTTCCTGCCACTTTAAAATTAAGATCCTAGTACATAAGCCATAGGTAAATTCATTTAAGATCTTTATCTTTACCTTTACTTTAATTTTAAGAAACTTTATTTTAATAAGTTGTTAATTATTTGATGAAATTTATTTTTAGGTTACTGAACACCTTTGTATTCTTCAAGACTATGTTAATTCTATGACCACGTTAAGTGTGGATGATCAAGAATATGGTTATTTAAAACTTATTGCTTTATTTAGCCCAGGTAATATTTTTATAAAATGTTTAGATTAATTTTTTTTTATTATTTGTTTATTTAGAAATATTACATTCTGTCACATCAAGGACATTTATAATAGTGTTCAGAGAGCACACTCACACTCTATTTACAATAAGTAAAAATAAATAATACAGTAACTAATAATAATAAAAATAAATGTATATAAACAAAGGAACTAACCTAATCATACACACTTGGGCTTGAGTGGAGGATCTGACCATTGCCAAAACTCCAATAGATGCTTATTTACGAAAAAAAAATTAATATTTTTGTATAAAATCGAATATTTTTCCTTACACATTCGATTAAGAATTCTTCTACATCCATAGCATATTTTACACTGAACCAAAATAAAATAATTTGAGTTGTGCAGTGAAAACAAGTGGAAAAAAAGGATGACACTGAGGAACAAAGCCCCACGGTTGTGTGACAGTGGTGAGTAGAGGGGGTGGAGAAGCTTAGCCTAGCGGGGTCAGCTTCCAAAACCGAACCCTGGTCGACCCAAAGCTGATCCTTGCTGAGCTTAGCTCAGCTTTAGGTGGTCGGCCTCTTATTGAAAATCTTTGGTTCGGTTTTGGATGATGACTCAGCTACGCTCAGCTCAGCTCTGCTGCACTTTCGGTGGCAGTCGTCCTTAATGTGATCAATCATGTGATTTTACTTAATCTTCGGTTGTTATATATAATCACTAAATATGGTAAATTTGAAGAAATTATTGAATATTTATCAAATTCACTGGTAAATTTATAAAATCTCCAACTCATAATGGTGAATGTGATAAAAGTCCACAACTTATCAAACATTGGTCCAACTGCATAGCTGTTGTTAAGATCTAGGTCATTTCTTGGTGGTTACAACAGCCTGTTTGTTGTTTGTGGTTTCATTCATGTTGAATTTACTAGTCTGCACATAGCCTGTAGCTTTATGATTTCAGTATTAATGCTAATATCATACCGAATAGATGTTTTTTAGATACTTACTTGCACTTTATAAATATTGAATAATGGAAAGTATTTTTGAGCGATTTAATTTAAAGTTGGTTAGATTATAAATAGTGAGAAAGCATACAATGGTTTCCTAATAGGAGAAAGATATGACTTATCAAAAAAAGTTTTTGATAGTAAAAACAAAAGTAATAGGAAAAACTGGATAAGATTATCATGGACCAAAAAGATATGACTTAATGAAAGTTGGATATATTGAAAAAAGCATCTTTCCCATTATTCAAAGATACATGAAATGTTAGATATTACATGTATGTTGAAAAACTTTTAAAAATAGTTCTTGAGGCACACAAATAAAAAATCCATGATGGTAGAAAGACGATGTTTGAAGAACTTGCAAAAAAAATATTACCAATAGTACTGAAAAAGTATTAATCTTTTAAAAATCAAAGGAACCAAAGAAAAAACTTGTTAGCCCAATGGTGTTCCAAGAGATGAACTCAAGATGGCAGGTAGACATAAAATTGACATGCAGTCACAACCAGATAATAATTTTTTTTTTTTTATTTATTTATTAATGATATTTACAACTGTATTACAAGTAAAAATACATAGATAATAATTTAAAATTTATATTTGTCTATCAAGACCACTTGACGAAGTTCATTCATCTGCATGTCCTAATATGCAAACATGTAGGATAGGTTGCCTATAACGTAATTGATATTTTTACTATATTTGGAGTCCCTGGTGTATTGGGAAGTGACATTGGTCATGAATTCAACTAACAAATCATAAAAGAAGGTTGTGTAATGTGACCTGATCTGGACCCAGCCAAACTCTTGTTTGAAAACCAATCAAAATATAAATAGCCCAAAAGATTGTTAAATCTTGTTGCCCAAAATTATCAAAAACATGGCTTTTCATTCATATATATATATATATATATATATATATATATATATATATATATATATATAGTTGCCAGAGTAGTAGGCAAACGTGGGAGGCCAAAAACCTGATGGATAGATAGGATAAACAAAGATACTACAAAGGCTGAGCTTCATGCAGCAAACTAGAAAGCAGTAGCCCAAGATAGGCAGAGGTGGAGAAGGCTGGTTCAGGCGGCCAAAGATCTACAAGGTCTGTAGAGACAACCGCAAAAAATAAATACATATATATATCCGTATTACGAGAATATAATCAGCAACCACCAAGCTGGATTCCGAAAAGGGAGGAGTACATTAGACCGAATCTTCATCCTAAAACAAGTTCTTGAAAACAATGAGAAGTAGTCCAGGACGTCCACACCCTATTTGTTGACTTCAAAGCAGCCTATAATTCTGTGGACAGAAGCTGCCTTTGGAAAATCATAACTGAACTGGGAATTCCCGGTAAGTTGGTGAGATTGACAGAGATGTGTACAAATGACCCGGAATCTAGAGTCCTAATACTAGGAGATGTATCTGAAGCCTTTAAAGTTTGAAGGGGCTTACAGCAGAGAGAAGGACTATCACTAATGTTGTTCAACTTAGCCCTAGAGAAGGTAATAAGAGCAACATCACACGAAAATGGAGGGGTCCACGTAGGAGTGAATCATAAAATCTTTGGATACGCAGATGATATAGCTTTCCTTGGAAGTAATCAAGAAAACATTGAGATACTCGCTACAACACTGATATGAGAGGCAGAGCAGATCAGCCTACAAGTAAATGTAAGCAAAACAAAATATATGATAATAAGCCTAAAATTCCACCCCAACAGGATCTACGTAGAAGGAAAATTATCCCAAGAGTAGAAAAATTTAAATGCCTCGGCTCCACAATAACCTCAGTGAATGACCCATGGGCACAAATAGACCAGTGTATAACTAGTGCAAACAGAGCTTTCTTCTCCCTCTCAAAGGTATTGAAATACCAAAAAATCTCAAACTAAGGGTTTACAATGCTATGATAAAGCCAATTCTATTATATGGCTGTGGGACTTGGACACTAACCAGCACCCTAGAAAAAAGTGTTGAAAGATTTGAGAGGAAAATCCTCCGCACTATAACCGGAGCGATCTGAGATCAGAGTATTAACTCTTGGAGAAGAAAGACCAATACAGAACTGCTTACAGAAACTGGTCAATCAATATCCCATGATATGAAGGCACAGAGGTTAAGATGGACGGACCATGTAGCTTATAGCAATCCATCTGGAAGCCTCTACGTAACAATGAATGCCTCAATAGAAGGTAAAAGACAACGGTAAAGGCCAAAAAGCAGATGGATATGAAGATATGTTTAGATAAATGTTTAGCTGGAATTTAAATTAAAATTATTGGTGATTTTAGATAGGTGTTAGTAAAATGGTGAGAATGATTGAAGTAAAGTTTAGTAGTATTTTGTAGTGGTGTTTGACTAATTGTATCAAATTCAGATTTCATATAACATTTAGTTATCTATTTTTTTTTTCCATTTTCTTTTTCATCATTATAAGTAAATGTAATGGATTATGAGAGTTTTGTTCTAAAAATAAAACTGACAATACAGACATTTTTTTGTTGAACGAAGACTTCCATGATTTATTGATTAATTTAATTAAATCATATTAATATCAACTGTGACATTTCGAGACCTTACCACCCTCATGGGGCTATGACTTTTTCTTATATTAGTCATTCCACGCTCAACATTATATTTATTTTTTCCATTAATCCTCGATAAATGTTCATAAATTTGTTTAAAATTTCTTTAATGATATAATTCATATATGGAGAGGGTTCTACTTATTCTCATTATTTATATTCTACTTCCATTGGTATAAAACATTATCTGTGTGCATCTACACCTTAAGGAGATGGAAGCAAAACAATTGCTTACTAAACAAATTTTTTCTTTTTGGTATTTGCTTGGATTAGAATTTAAAGTAAACTTAAAGGACTTTAATCACTCAGTTTTATAAAATATATCACAAATTATTATTCAGAACAACATTTAAATTTTGTTTGTTTGATATTTGGATTGATAAATATAAAAAAAAAGTTTAGAAAAATGAATAAAAACCATTCACATCAGTTAGAATATATTTAATCTACTGCAATTTTGTTTTTAAAGAGTTTTAAATTCTTGATGCCTAGCTATTTTCCAAAAATCATTAACCGTTTTGTCTTAACTGTTTTATTTTTCTGTCTTATGAACTGACTAGCAAGACAAATGGAAATATGTGAGCATCTGGCCCACAAGACTGAAACAGAACTTCTTTATCCCAAGCGTAATATAATTTTTCTTGTTTATTATTGTTTTCATCTACTTTAATCTTTTGTTGGCCAAAATAATATTGTATGCATCTTTATTTATTTAATCGTCTCTTTTATAGACCACTCTTCTTTTCATTTACGAAGATTGATCAGTGAGATGCAGGATAAGGCATTGCAAGAGTTACGTGACCATGTTGGAGATGGTCGATCTGAAAGATTTGCACGTTTACTCCTGAGACTTCCTGCACTTCGGTCATTAAGTAGACATGTTATAGAACAAATATTTTTTCCAGGATTAGGAGATCAATGTGATATTGACAGCATTATTCCTTTTATATTGAAAATGAGTAGCATTGATTTCATTACTACCGAACAAGGTTTGTTGTATACTTTTTTCTTCTTTGTTATTACTACTTCTACATATTTTTAACTGAAAATATAACTGTATCAATTACTTTAAAACTTATTTTTCAGGTACGTTTCCAAATAGAGCTATGTTTTTTATTAAATCAGAAGGAAGAAGTGATGATGTCAGTTGAAATTTCAAAAATAAATATTTCTTCATTTTTGAAGGATTTCCTTTCATGAGAAAGAAGCTTTTAAGATGGTAAAATGTTATAAAAATGAAATATATATAGAGAAATGAGAAGCAATTATTTTACTCTATTAAATTGCAGACTTTTCTGAGGAGTAGCAGATCATATTCATTCTTATAATATTTTTTTTTTGATATATTTAATTTTAGTGGTATGGTATTAATGTTTAAAATTATTTTTAAAAGATAATTAAACATTGATTATGTGATGGTGGAACTCATTTATTTTTTTGAAACGTATTTAGACTTATTGTTCTAAATCTTCCTATTATATAAATCTTAAAGAATTGTTCGAATGATTTTGGGTCATTAAAACAATAAACAGTCCAAAGTTGTGGTTACCTTCATTTTCAACTGAAGAAGTTCAATGTACATAAGCTGTTGAATTGTATGTTGTTATTACATTGTATAGTAATGTAGAAAATTAAATATGAAATGATTAGATAAAAACAGTTGTATTTAGTTGTTGAACAGATTTTTCAAGTTAATTTATCTAAAAATTAGTTTTTATTTTTGTATCTCTTAGAAATACTTCAAGAAAGGAGGCTTTGTTGTCTTGTAAAATTATGAAGTTATTTATAATTAATTTAAATTATTATTAGAATTTACATTAAATGGGTACTTCATTTATCAGTGTCATGGTTAACTTTTTGTGGTTTTCCATTTTTTTTTTTTATAATATTTCAAGTTTTTATATATTATGTATTATTCTTTCATGAAAAGACAAAAACAATATAATGAGTACTTGGAACATCAAGATTATAATTTGCCTTAATCCAACATGCTAATATTTGTTGTTATAATTATTTCAATGTTAATATATGTTTTAATGAGGGTCACTCAGTAACCCACTATTTATGTTGCTCCAAGCAATAGTTCTCATAATGCAGAAATCTGCAACTTGATGACTGTGGCTTCAGCTGGATGATTGTAAAAAGATCATTAATATATATGTATAACTTCAAACCTTCAGATTATTAGGCGATTATAACAGTCGTCCTCTCAGATCACTAAATGATACTTGTTATGTTACACATCATAAATGTGTAATTCGTAGTGAACAAGCTAGGTTGATATGCCAGTTTGTAACTGGAAAATTTTTTTGAAATAGATATAAAATCATTATTTTTTATATAATGATATATGGTGGTGCATGGTGCTAACATTTGAATAGAATTTTTTTAATGATTCCATAGTATTTCTATTATCACCACTAATTTAATAATGATGTTTCAAGTGGATAAATTATATGGAACCAGAAATACATAAATAGATGAAGCACTAGCAAATTATTTAATTCCATCATGTTTAAGTTACCCAAAAGTTTGAATTTTTTTGTGCTGAAATATTGTAAATCTACCATGGTAATCCAAAAAGGACAATAACTAGCTTAGTATTCTATTGTTTATTAAAAAAATGGATAATTTAAAGAATATTGTCAATTTTCTCTCAAGCTCATTGATGCTGATTACAATACTGGAGATCTTAGTGATCATTTGTTATTCATCCTGACAAACTTTACCCACCCATTTTATTCTTTGGGGTGCTTTATCTTTGATAATATTCACTGAGTGCAATAAAAAACGCATTAAAGTAATTAATTTTAGCTTATTAATAAAGCAACTGAATTAAAGACATATTGAATGAAATAAATTAAGTATTACTTTATATAAAAAAGTTTTAGAAATAAATTAAAGTCTTTATAGGAAGATGACATAGGCAATGAACACATGCTGATGTTTTAAGGCCGATACTGCCGCATTGTATAGCTGTCTGAATTCTCTAAAAAATATACAACCCTTTATGTATTTTTCTTACCTTTCCTGATTTTTTTAAATGCTACTTAACAATTTTTTATCATCACCTTTTAAGCTAAAAAGTTATATTGCAATATTTATACATTTTTGCCTCATATTCTTCTTTGTGTTTATTTTTAGTCTGGTTGATCTTTTTATTTGTTTTTCTTTTTTATTCTATTTATATATCCTGCTATATTGTTAGTTCATACAAATTATGGAAGGAATTTTGGTATTAAATATTTTTAATATATCAAAATTATTCAGAAATTATTGTAGTTTGAATAATAAATTAAACCTATGGAATATTCAGTATACATTTTATTTTTTTCAACTAGTATAATTTATTCTGTCAGATATTCTCCATTATCATTATTTCTAATGATTAATTGTTCATAGCACATTTTTGAAGAATTTTAAAGTGTTTCACAGATTTAAAATAAATTTTATACCATATATTTCTTGAAAGTTTCCTTAGATGATATTGTTACAGTCAATGGCCTATGAAAATACTACCATGATATAAATACCAGTTGTTCTTATCAAATCGTTCATACTTATTTTTGCATATCTGTCAAGTGTCCATAACTAATGCCTTTATTTTTTTAATGTGTGTACTAGTGGAATAGTTCTAGTACCCAAATTAATGCTGCATAATATTGTCACTGTTATTATTATGTTTGGGAAATGAGCAACACTATTTTTTAATTAACATTGTAAACAATATTCATGAAGTTTTTTTACTTTATCTATTTTGATGTTATTCAGTTATTATGTACTCATTATTTGTTTTTGGGTATATATGGTTTAAAATAAACAATTTAGTAATTCTATTCACTATTTATTACACCCATATATTGTTGGCTCACTACAGGGAATTTTTGAAGTGTTATGTATTGTAAATATATGAAATGTTGTTGATATTTTATTTTTAAAAATATGTTTCCGATAAAAGATGTGTATTTTATTAATGAAATTAATAATTTATCATTTTGCTAGAATGATTCAATACCTTATTTTGGCAATAGCAAATGATAGATCAAACCGAAGTGTAAAAGTTGTAAAAAGAACCAGTTGTTCAGTTTTATTAGTACTATTTCTGGTGCTGTGAGATCAAACACAAAGCTCTTAACTTGAAGAGTTTTGTTTCATTACATAATAGATTTACACTATTTGGCATCTTGGTTATTACAATAGAGATATGGCAATTTAGCATTTTTCTCCCCCAGAAACAATATTACATGATAATCATGTTTAAATGTTTTGTTAACGATAAGACTTATGATTTCATTATAGCTTTTGGTAGATTACCTGTTTCAATTACTACTAACCGCTAAAAAGACAATAAAACTCTCAAAGCCTCTTCATTTTAATATGTTATACAAATATGTATTTTTTTTTCAAACAATATTTTTAATTTAGTGTTGGTTATTCAAATCCCAGGAATCATTAAGTACGAAATTGGCTCTTTTTACAATTACATTTTAATTTTTTATTTGTATGGTTTTGATTAAAATCATTGTATTGATCTGTAAATTGTATGTTAAATATACCATCATGATTTTTATTTATTTTTAGGAATAAAAATTTATTGTTTTTAATATATAGGATATTAATTCAATTAATCCTGAAGCTTTTTTTTTTTTTTCGTTATTCAAAGAATTTTATTTTTATTTTTTGTGTAAAGTTTATTTGTGTAATTGTTATTTTTAATATAGAGTATTATTATATTATATTTTTTGTTTTTCCAAATGACTATAATTTCTTTTTAATAAATTGTTGATATTTATCTGTGAATTGAATGTCCAGTTTTTGTCCACTTATATCATTGTGCCGTTAGTTCCTCTAAGACTTCTAGTTTTATGAAAGTTACTGTAATATTTTTTTTTTTTTTTTATTATTTTAATGGAATTTACAACTGTATTACATAGAGAATACAATAAGTAAATGAGAAATTGGTAACATGGCATGTACAACATGAAGAGAATCTACCCATTGGTAGAACTCAAATTAAAGTTCTATATTAGAAGATCCCGAGGCCATCTTCTTTTCAGACACCTCGGAGGATTATCAGGGATCGAGGAGGAAGCAAGGTTTGAAACGAGAGGATTCGGATGGTTCTGCAGTTTGTTATGGAAGGAAAGGTATCTGGATTGGGCCAGATCGGAAACATATGGAACATTAAGGTCTTTATGGATGATTTTATTTGTGACAAAGTAAGGAGCGTTGAGGATTTTACGAAGGATTTTGGATTGTAAGGATTGGATACGAGAGGAATTCGATGGTTTAGTGGAACCCCAAAGCTCAATTCCGTAAGTCCAAATAGGTCTTATTATTGTCATATATACGAGTCGTTTATAAGTGATTGAAAGCTTAGATCGTTTGTCTAGTAAGTGCTGCAGTAGTCGAAAACGTCGGGCGGTTTCTAGTCGTTTCAGTCTGGTATGGGGGTTCCAAGTGAGTCGTTTGTCAAGGTGGAGTCCTAAGTAGCGGATTTGCTCAATAGGAGTAAGTGGAGTATTATTGAAGGATACTGTAGGACAAGAGGTCATAGGTTTACGACGGAGGGTAAAGGTGATTTGATGGGATTTGTTGGAATTTATTTTTATTCTCCAATTTTTACACCATTCTTCAAGGCTTGTGATATGTGATTGAAGAGTTTGGGATGCAATTAAAGGATCGTTATTAACTGATAGGATACACGTGTCATCGGCATAGGTGGTGATGACAGTGTTGGATTGGGTTGGGATGTCAGCTGTATAAACTGTGTAAAGGATAGGACCTAGGATACTACCTTGAGGAACACCGGCAGACTGAATAAAAAGAGATGAATAAGCATTGTTATGATTGACTTTGAAGTATCTGTCAGTAAGGTAGGAACGGATAATGAGGAAGTATGTAGGTGGTAGGAATTCACGGAGTTTGTACATCAGTCCCGGATGCCAGACTCTATCAAACGCCTGTTCAACGTCGAGAAAGACTCCCGTGCAGTACATTCCGCGCTCCAATGCAGAGGAGACTACATCTACCACACGATGGCATTGCTGAATAGTGGAGTGGGATGTGCGGAATCCAAATTGGTGATCTGGGATAATGTGTTTAGAGTCTAGGATGGGATACAGGCGTTTTAAAATGAGTTTTTCCAGGATTTTGCCCATAATGGGTAAAAGGGAGATAGGACAGTAAGAGGATGGGTGTTCTGGCGGCTTTGTGGGTTTAGGTATCATTTTGACAATGGATAGTTTCCAAGAGTCAGGAAAATATGTGGTGCGGAGTACAGCATTAAATATATAGGTTAGGAACAATATGGCTTTTTTAGGATCTGGGATGTGATTAGGTCATGGCCAGGAGCTTTGCGAGAAGGTAATCTATTAATGATATTAGATATTTCTGAAGGATGAAATGCTTTAGGTGGAGGAGTCAATTGGAGTGGGATATCCAATTCTGCTTCAATAAACTCAAGGTGGGTTGGATTAAGGATGTCTGGGTGTGGATTAAATGTTTTTGATAGGTGCTGAGCAAATATTTGAGATTTTTCTTCATCAGATCTGGACCAGGTTTGGGTTTCAGTAATAAGTGGGTGGTTAAAATCTTTGAATTTAAGGAGCTTTTTAGTGGTCAACCATAGTGATTTGTCACAAGTAGTAAGTTTTTCTGTCATGTTAAGTAAATTTTGAACTTTGTATTTTCTAATTTCAGCTTTTAGTTGGTTAGTTAATTTGTTGTAATATGTCTTATCTGATGGGTATCTAGTCCTGTGCCACTTCGATCTTGCTCTGCGTTTTTCCCTTAATAAGATTCGAATATGCTGCGGCAAATTTGTCTGTTGGGAGTTGTTAGTTTTATTGGTAGATGTATTATCCTTTATTTTGTCACTTATAGATGTAGTAAGTTCTTTTATGGCTGTGTCAATATCACGTTTCGTCTTAAGTGGAATATTTAGGTCCAATTTATTTTCCAGGTCTTTACGAAAATTGTCCCAGTTTAATCGTCCTGTAATCAGTGTAGAAGAGGACGAGGGCTTAGGAGCGAAGGTTGTGTGTAATGAAAGCAGAACTGGAGAATAATCTGAGGAGAGGTCATCCAGGGATTTTATTGTGACATGGGAAGAGGAAATTTGGGAGGTGACAAATATGTCCAGGATATCAGGGCGTTTTTTGAGGGATGTTGACCAATAGGTAGGATTCATAGGAGAGAGGGCAGAGTAACTATTGGAAGTTGAGACAGAAGATAGTATATTACCACGGGAGTTGGATGATCGACAACCCCATCGTTGGTGTTTAGCATTGTAGTCTCCTCCAGCAATAAAGCGCGATCCGAAGGATTGAAATAAGGATTCAAGTAAGTTGTAGGTAAGAGTATGACCGGGAGGACAGTATACAGTTGAGAATGTTAAATGGAAAGGACGAGTTGAAATGATAACCGAGGTTGCTTGAATAGCCTCAGTTGGAGTAGAAGGAATGAGAGAATGGGATAAGGATGCAAGAACCGGCATGGGAAGTGTTGTCGGGGTGGTCTGATCTATAAGTGATATAGTCACGTATGTAGAAATATGAACGTCGAGTGAAGTGAGTTTCTGTCAGTAGAGCAATATCAATGTGGTAGTCATGAAGAAAAATGTCGAGTTCGTCTCGGTGGTTGTGTAGTCCGTTAGCATTCCATAAAAGAACAGCTAGGGGCTTAGTGCTCATCGTGAGAGATTGAAGGGAATTTCGGTAAGGATTCTTGTGAGGAGGGTAATTAGTGGCTTGATAGTCTCTTGGAGATCTTTCAGGAAGGAAGCAAGGGTGGAGTTTATTAAATCGATCGGGTTTTGTTGGTCAAGTTGGTTTTGATTAGAAGTTCGTGAGGGAAAGCTCTTATGATAAGGATTGTCTGATGAAGGATGCACCCTTGGAACTTGGGAAGGAGAGTAAATATGAGCAGTAGGATGGGAATAAACAGGAGTTGGATGTTCAGGCGGTAATTTTACACATATAGGTATCTGATGAGGAGGCATTTGCTGACGTGGAGATTTTGAATGAATGTGGGAGATTTGAGTCTTGGATTGGGAGGTCTGGGTCTTAGGTTTGGAAGCCTGAGTCTTAGTTTTGGAAATCTGAGGCGTCTGACGTCGCGGCTGTTGATTCTTCACCGTGGAGTCTGAATATAGGTGCCTAGAGTCTTGATGGGGATGATCTGTTGATCTAGAAGGGTTATGTGTCAATTGTGGTGTTATTTCGTTCGGCAGTTGAGGAAACGCTGCCAAATTTAGGAGTTCAGGTGCCTGTACCTGGGTAGGATTCTTCTGTTCTTCTTTTTTTAATGATAAATTATAAGTTCTTTGCTTATATAGCTTCTTATAGATAATACAGCCCCGATAGGTTGCAGGGTGGTCCTCACCACAAAGGGCACATTTTGGTGGTTCATTTAACGGTTTCTGGCAGGTGTTAGAGACGTGAGGCCCGGCGCATTTAACGCAACGCACCGAGTGATGGCAGTAAGCCTTTGTATGCCCTAAGTTTTGGCACTTGGTGCATTGAACGACTATAGGTTTCTGCTTCGGCTCTTCAAATTTTACAACAGAATACAGCAGTCTTTTAACTTTGAAGATTTCTGCATTATTTCGGGCTGGTTCTAAATCGATGAAAAATAATGGCAGTGGGTATTTATCAATAGGATGTAAAATAGAAGATATATGTCTTACAGAATTTCCGATATCTTCCAGATCTTTTTTTATAGCGGTAGTGGGTGTGGTAGAGTGAAGACCTCTCAAAACCACTCTATATGTTTTGTCTTCTTTTAGTTGACAGCAGTGGAAGTCGTGATTGAGTGCTGTCAAGCGATTTATAAGTTTTATAATCATCTTTAGTATTGGTGTTAATCTTTATATCGTTGACGCGAGAAAAACACCGGAAGTTGGTCGGTCCGATCAGATTAGCTATTTCTTGACCGAACTGAATGAAATTGTCAATCTTGCTTACATAAATCGGAGGTGGCACTAGTTCAGTGAAAGTTCTAGGTTCAGTGATTTCGTTACTTTTATTATTGGCTGTAACAGAATTGTTACTGGATGTGTTAGTTGGTGGTTTAGTGTCAGGTTTCATAGCTGAATTATTACTAGTTTTTGATTGTTTATTTACTTTGAGAGATTGCTTTGTTTTAGCGGATTTTTTTTTTTTTTATTAGGTGAGTTGCCCGCCGAACCGGGGGCAGAGTTTCTATGGCCCTTTTGGAGAGTTCGCCTTGTTAAATATTGAGAATCAGTCTCACTGATTTCAGAGAAAGGAGTCTCTTCATCTGATTCGTCAAAAGAAATGTTCTTATCAGAATACATACCTCTAAATAATAATATATACAAAAAGAAGAGAGAAAAAAAAAGTATCACTAATAATAAAATTTACAAAACAAATACTTAATAACTAATCTATTTACAAATCTATATACAAATATTAAAAAAAACATTTTTATAAATAAATAAAATAGAGTCTCAGTAGAAAAAAAAATAAAATAATCAATTAAGAAATAAAAACAGAGAAAAAAATAAATTAAAAAAATAAATATACTGTCTTAGGTTCGAAC